GGCCTGTGTGAGTTGGGGGAGGGGTGGAGGGAGAGGGAGAATCTCAGCCAGACTCTGTGAGCCAGGAGCCTGATGCGGGACTCGATCTCACGGCCCTGAGATCACGACCTGAGCCCCCCTCGAGAGTCCGACTCCTAACCTACTGAGCCACCCAGGCGCCCCTGTTGTGCAGCTTCTAAAGATGAAATGAAAATCTTACACGCCCAAGACCTCGCCAAATGATGTTGAGAATTGTGTGCTGTTTCTATTCGTTGCTCCTCCTTTGGTTAAAAAAGAGGCAAATGAGAGCTGAGGTTTGCCTCCACAAGCTCTGAATCCATGATGAACCATGAAGGCTTGAGTCTGAGGACTGTTTCAAAGCCAAATAGTCATAACCACTTCCATGAAATGGAAACAAAAACACATGCTGTACTTTGCAAAGACGGGGGAGCAACCTGTTTTGGAGATTAACAAAGCAGAACCCAGCGACATCCACACATTCTCATTTGGTCCAGAAGTCCAGTTCTACGTACTGGGGACATTCCTCCATGGGACAGAAGGCCCTGAGGCCCCAGCCTCTAAAATTAAAATTGGGGTACAGAGTGGAGCCCCCTGGAGAGGAGAGTGTATTTCCAACATTCCACATGAAAAGATGTGGGGGAGGGATCAGCTTTACTTACGAAGGTCTCCGATGGTGCTTTCTACTGAGACATCTGTAGCGTTATGCGTAATGCTGAGGTACCATGGATAAAGCCAGAAAAGGGTAAAGAAAAAGTAAGAGAACTAAAAATATATAAATAAGTAAAATAAAAGGAATGGAGGAAGGGACACAGAAAGACCTGTAAGGTCACTGCAGCGCACTCCTGTTTTGTGACACAAGAACGGAGCCCCACATGGCCTAGCAGAGGCTGGGAGAGCAAAGCTCAAAGTGTCCATCATCAGACAGAGTCTGGATTAAACAGGCGTTGTTCCTCTGACGAAGCTGAGGTCCCATGGATTTCGTTTCACAACTAACAGTTAAAAATAACACATTAAATGGTATTATCCTTCCAGATCCTTTCAGTGTTTAGGATTATGTGATTTATGTTATGAAATTTTTAGCACAGGACCAAGCACAAAATAGGTGCTCAATAAAGCGTGGGAAGAATAACCAAATGAAAAAAAAAAATAAAAATAAAAGGAAACAAAGACATGAAAGTGGTCCAGATCTTGGCATATGGTGCTTGGCTCTATCCATTAAAAACTGACACATGTCCTCCCTAAGGGTGCTGGGACGGATACCTTGTAAGAACAATGGGAGCAAGCACAAATCTTCTTCTATGTGTTATCGCCATGCTTTTTACACAACCTGTGCAACTGTACACAGCCTCCCTGGTTATTGCTGATGCTCAGAAGGATATTCTATGAAACCCAAATACGCCACAAGGCAAAAGATAACTGACAATTGCGTTGAGGGGCTTGCAAATACCTAAGAGCAGACTTACAACTCAATAGACTTGTCTTGGAGAGGGGCTACCGTCACACAAATGAGGGCTCACTGACTACTCTGTCCTGTCCTAGCACTTTTACATGGTTTTATTCTTCACAGGATAACCTGGGTCACAGGCTACCATGTCTAGTTTGTTTTGTTCCTTCCCATTCACACACTGTGCTGGAACCCCCAAACTCCATGCGCTCCTCTGTGGCTCCTTCTGAACCTGGCCTTTGCCATCTCACCATGCCTGTGACTTTCGTGCTCCCTTCCACTCTCATGCGTTCTCCATCAGGTGGGCTGCTGTGTTTCTGTCCGCCTGCTGGCTCTGGCTCTGGGACTGAGCCCCGGCTCATGGCCGGCTGTGTGGGAACGTCCGTGTCTGCATGGGGGACTGTAGCTCTGAGCATGTTACTTCAACGTGCGAGGGTTGCAGACTGCCCAGCTCTTAGCAGAGGACCAGCTTCTCGCCCACATACACACGATCAGGAGAAGGTAGTGCTGTCACCCCAAACACCCCTGTAGGCATCTCACCCAATGGCTTCCATGCACAGAAAGAAAAAGAAATAATAACAAGCTAACTGCAATGATTTTAACCAAAGGGCCATTCCCTCTTTATGGCTGTGTATATGATGCTGTTTGCTCCGGCTTTTCTCTGTGAGAAGCCAGAAGGAAATGGGTATGGTGTCATTGGAAGTGAGTGAGGGTGGGCACGTGTGGCCCTGGGCTTCCCACCAGACGGAGGGTCGGGTCTGTCCTACAAGCTAACCTGGGAGAAGGAGTGAACACAGGGGTTGCCAGACCCCTGCTTCTGAGAGGACACTCCCCTACTGGTGTGAAGGATGGGACTCCTCTCCTGAAAGAAAAGAGAGTCCCGCATGGCGGCTGACCCCTCGCACCTCTGCCCTGTCGCTATGGACCCCAGCACGGCCTCCATCAGTCTGTCCAGTGTGCCAGAGGCCTGGCTCTCCCTCCTCAAGCCTCTTAGTCATTCTGTTCCCTGTCTGGGGGTCCCTGCCACCCACCTTCACCAGGTCAACCCTGACTTGGCCCTGGGCATAGACATCCTGTCTTGCAGAGGCCTCTCCTGACCCCACGCATCTGCAGAGCAGGCTGGGTGTCCCTCCCCTGAGCACACTCTGATCCCTACCCCTGGGTGGTGCCAACCTCCGTCACCTTCCCGTTTGACCAGACTGCTGCTCAGTCTGACCCATACATCCCTGGCACAGCGGGCCCTCCACACAGATTTGCTGAGTGAATGAATGAATGAATGAATGAACTTCCTCGCCAAAGCCCTCCTTCAGCACAAGGCTGCCTCTCCTTTGGGCTCTTTGAGGGCAGGCATGTGCCTTGGATCCCTGAGCTCCCACCCGGCATGACAGGAAGTTGCTCGGCAAACACCAGTGGACCATGGGCACCAGCAGGAGCCTCCCCTCTCTCCAGCCGCCGCCCGGGCTCAGAGCACTCCAGCGCCTTCAACCTGCCATCGAGGGCTGAGTTTGATCCCCAGGGGACTTTTGGTTCCCAGCTACTTCTTGGCTATATTTGGCTTGTGAACAACAGATTCCAGTGAATCTTAGGAGGACCAGTCTTTACTCTAACTACTTCCGAGAAACTGAACAACCATAAAGACAAAAAACAAAAATGATGCTAAGAATGAAAACATACTAGACCATTATCTTGGCAGGCATTTTGTTTATAATTTTTATAATAAATAATATAATGTCCCTGTTTTACATTATATATATTTATGTATGTGTATATATATATATATATATATATATTAGATATCTATATACTTCATTAGAAAGAGACATAAAAAAGCCTTTTCAAATGAGGCATGACACGCAACACTGGACACTCTTATTTACAGTATAGATATGTACTTTCTACACAAGAGAATAGATGCTCGGAGGCCAGAGAGGGTTTACAAAGACAGCAGATCACCCCTGTAAAAAAAGGGGTGCACCATGCAGCTGGACGTTTATTGCCATGAGTTCTCACTATGTCCAGACAGCATATTGAAGTTAAAAATGGCATCTGGGTACTGGGAAAGATGATGGTCATTGGATTCACCCTGGCTCCGGAACCACACTACACGGTCTTGCGAGTGGCCAGGGAATGACACACTTTGCTGATGGGTATCGGAAACACAAAATGAAATGCTCTCATCGGAGGGGCAGGGCTCCTCACGGGCCCTAAAGGAAAACCTGCTATAAACGTATGGTCCAGCACGGAGTCTGAACACGTGTCTAGACCAGGAAACACAGCCACGTGGGCTCTACTGCAGGAACTGATTCCGCCTCTGTTATCCTGTGGTTTGGTGCTGTTCGTGAGGAACCCAGTCTCTGTCCATCGGGAACTTGGAAAAATACCCACAGAACTTACTGATCCCATACAGGTGAAGCCTAGGACATAATGAGAGTTCACAGGAGACCCCCAGGGGAACCCCTGCTCCACTGTCTGCGAGTCTGCCTTCGTGGCTCATTCAAATCTACCCCCCCCTTCTTTCATGAGAAACACACAGGTTTCTGTCCTATGAAGCTGCCTTCCAGGACTGGTTTCTTGTGGTCTGCGTGTGTTTGGCAAAGTCACACTGTTAACATGGGAGGACTACAATTCTCAGATAAGCCAAGATTTACTGGGTTTTAGGACCATGGCACTAGGGACCAAAGGTCACAGTCCAGGCTCCGGGACCAGGAATCTGGTCTCAGAGGACTTTCCGAAACACATGAGAAGGTGGTTTTGCAGAAACAGGAGCTCCTGCTTCTGGAAGATGGGTCTCCTGTGTTAGTCATCCCTCCTGTCCTGGTCCATGCCTTCCTTCATGTGACCAGGTGATTCTCCAGGCTTCCTTTAGGCCAAGAGTGGACTCAGTCTTAGGGACCCTATCAAATATCCTGGCCATTTTCAAAACGTCCCTTAAGTGACTTACCAGTAACAGTTTAAGCTGGGTCCTCAATCGGGCTGATGTCCTCCTCTCTAATCTCATTGTTGTCCCTGCTATTTATTGTTGTTATTATTTTTTTTTAATCAATGGTGACCTCTCCTAGCCCTTTATTTTCCTAAGGCAAGAAGACATTTCTAGTAAAAGATATCCAGCACCTTCTTCGAGCTCCCCTGAGGTTTCATCCAGCACTCCTCCATTTAGATGTCTGTCCTTCCACGGAGAGGAGAAGCCGCTGGCCATGTTAATGGTTGTGTTTGTATCTGTATTTTTTTTTTTTTTTGCAATTGCATCAAATGCTAACATAGCATTTCTTTGGAAGAATATCAGCAGGAGCTTCACGTCTGTCTGTCCATCTGTCTCAGTGCCTCCCTTTGCTACGCTTAATCTGAGTCTGTTTTCCCTGATTACAGACAGAGATGGAAGCATTCACAAAAATAATCTGTGGGCCAGGGCTCTGCAGAGACAGTCTGGAGGGGCAGGTGAGGCAGCGGAGCTCACCGCCTTCCCTTTAGCTGCTTTTCTCCGTCACAGACCTGCATTTTCCAAGAGCATCGCCTTTCTGCCCCCGTAGCTTACGTCACCCCATCCGCTACTGTCCATGAACTAGGACTCAAGTCCGTAAAGCATTCCTTTGCCCCTGGTGGCGGAAACATGGGAGAATGACCGTGTGGGCATCACGCTGTCTTGAACAAGCAGCACATTGGAATCGATTACGGGTTGTATCTACAGGAATATACGCCCCACTTCCGCACGGAGGCTCGCCTGAGTTCTGAAATGCTTGTATGCACAGGATTGAATCAGAATGATAAAGCTATGAGCTAGGAACATACCGGGCACATCTAGGGAGACTGGAGCGGACTCGGTGAGCCAGCGGAGGGAGAAAAAGGTGGGCTCACCAACTCCAAGGATTCTGCTTCTTTATTTTGTCATATTTCTCCTAGAAAGCATCTTGAAAGACTCTCCAGGAGGCCGGACAGCTTCGGACAACCTCTTGTCAGGTGACACTACCATGGACGGGTTCAGCTTTCCCAAATCTCCAAGATGGAAGCACCTGGAACGGCCGGTCCCCACCCCACCCTCCTGGCCTCGGGGCCCTGCAGTGGCCGAGGGCTGCGAGGGACGTCTCCGCTAGAGCGTTCAGGGGTCGCAAAGCCTCCGCGGGCGGCCCCGGCTGCTACTTGAAGTAGCTGAGCCCCGCCACCAGGAAGAACTTCTCCAGGAAGAGCTCGGAGTCCAGCACGGCGATGTGGGCGGCCCGGCCGATCAGGGCATTGGCAGTGTTGGGCAGCGCATGGAACACGTTGTGCCGGACTAGGGTGCAGTCCTTGGCGTCCACCAGGGGACGCAGGAGGTTGTCGATCATCTCCGCATACACCGGCCCTGGGGGAGAGAGGAGCAGGTGACCTGGGGCAGAAGGGGACCGCGGGATCTCAAGGAAACGAGGAGAGCCCGGGGTGTGCGGCACGGACCGTCCCGTGTGCCCTCAGAGGCACTGGCCAGCTCACAGAGTGTGCTTTTTTAAATCAGAAACTCGGGAAAAACAGTAATAATAATAGTAATAATAATAATAATAATAATAAAATGCAGCTTACCTGTGTGTCTGTCTTTGAGGGCAGTTTTACACATTTCGATCCTAGCTGAATGAAATGGCACGTAGCGATCTTGGGGAGAAGCCACCAGCACGACGTTTTTGAAATACTGCAGACCTGCAAGGAGCCATAGGGTGCCTGTTGCCGGGTTCCCCCAAGACCCACACACGGAGCACAGAGAGGGGGAAGGCGGGAAGACCTGCCGGCTGAGACACTGGCCCCAGCCCTGCAGCGTCTGCTCTCAGAGAGCAGGGGCTGCTGTGTTCTCCTTGGCCACGGAAGCTGAAGAGACACGGGGCAAGCGCTTCTCTACAGGGGGAGGGGAGCCGCATGCAGGGGACAAAGGGGATTTTCTGGGGGAGCAGCTCTAAGGAGCCCATAAGGAATGAAGAGAGGACTCTGATCCTCCTCCGCAATGGGGACGACTCCTGACTGCAGGGCTCCTCCTGTCCCCGCTGGACCACAGAGGCCTGCAGCTGGAGACAGGGGCTGGACAGCACGGCGTGTTCCTGCGTCCTCAGACCCAGCCCAGGCCTGCAGACAGACCCTGCAGAGAGCTCCCCAGACCCTCTGCCCGCATGGCCCTCAGCCCGTGCCCCTGCACCGCGGTGGGACCTCCAGCCTCCCAAGACCACCTGCGGGGCTCCAGCCTGCCTCCGAGACAGGATGATGAAGACCAGCCCCTCGCCCTACTCTGCGGGGTCGCCCCAGCTCCCAAGATCTCTGTGGTGACCACACTGCTCTCCAGCTTCCACCTCTCCTCGTGGGGGCATCCTGAAAGCTCACCTTTGCACAGAGACGCACTGGGTAAGGACTCGCCTGGGGTCTCACATTCAGAGAGAGGCAGAGATGTCAGCGGGGGAGGTGTTCACCAGGTGATGGGAGAGGGTGACGTGGGACAGAGGCTCGACCCTCAGACCACTGCTGCGCTCTGCTCGTCCCCACAACACAGGCAGGGTCTCCAACACCTGTGTGCACTTCCCATCACAGTGTGGGTGAGGGTGTGACTTCATTCCTGCCCTGGAAGGACCCCTGCCTCGCCCCGTACTGTTAACTGAAGTGGCCTGGGCTCAGCTGCTCTTTATGTGTGTGGGTCTGTACCTGGGGAGGAGCCGTGAGTAGGCACGTAGGCCCGGGAAGTGTGATTAGGGCATCAAAAACTTATCAGGAAGCAGAGGCCACAGTGCATGTGCGGAGATAACCTCAATGCACACCTTGGGGCATCTAAGACGCCCTTCTTGGGAGCGGCTGAGTTCGTGGGTACCTAGCGGCCTCCCTTGTTTGCTCAAGATTCTGTGCTCCCTCTACCTCCTGACTCTACCCTTCCCTGCACGCATTGGCGCAAGAGGGTAGTGTTTGGGTCTCAGGGCTGGACCTCCAGCTTACACCGTGACCACAGCAGCATGCCGTGGAGGAAGGCACTTGCCTGTTTTCTGGCTTAGCTGGTAGAGGAAACATTTGCGCAAATCAGCATTATCCCTGAAGGTCAGCTGCAGAAGGGACCCAGATTTCTTTAATTTCTGCATGAGCCACAAGCCTAGAAAGACCAAAATGAAACACAACAAAAATCAATAATGAAACCTAAAGAGAGCAAAAATAACTGGGGAGAGATCAACGTGAAACTGTGATTTTTAGCCAATTTTAAAATAAGAGAGTAGTAGGCACTTGGGCAAACTTTGGGGAAGTCAGAGGAAAATTCTTACGTATTTGTGGCAGGGATATGAAATCATCCTGCAAAATGATACAGCGACGGGGGTCAGGAGGATGACACTTTGCGCCCTTTGACCCATTTGACCTCCTCCCACAAATCTGAAGAAGCATCCCAAGGAGCCATACAGATGAATGCTCCTTACAGATGCACGTAGCGCAGAGAGAACCCGAAAGCACCTTCCACTTCAGAGTCCGTCCCTGACCCTGGTTACGCCAGCACCGACGCTGACGGGCGTCGCGTTCCCACGACAAAATGAGTGTGACAAAAATGCAAGGAAATGAATACGATGCTGTTCTTTTCGTCATGTTGCAAGATTATAAATATGAAAAAGTTAGATGTGGTTTCAGTCATGCTTCTGTCCGACGATGGCTTCCCTGGTCTGTGAGGACAGAGAGAAGGGCAAAGGGACGACCTTCCACGTGCTACAGTTAACACTGCAGTTAATGTCCTTCATATAACATAAAGGCAGACGAACAGACCTCACCCGCTCTGTGGGGAAGGCAAGCAGCCCAGTGTCCCTCAGTGTCCCCCAGCAGTGCAGGAGGCTGGGAGGCGGGCGGGAAGTGGGACCTTCCCAGAGGCCACCTAATGGGTTGTGGGCAATCGGGGACTGTTGAAGGAGTATGCTAGGAGTATGATTTAAGAAACTAGCTGTGATTACACAAGACCCGACGCCCTCCTTGGGCTGCCATCTGCCAGCCGTGGGGCTCCCAAGGACACTAGCACGTGATGGGAGGCCCTCCATCATCAGGCTTTGGCTGAGAGTTTCACAGTCACCTCCTGTCCCTCTAGCTCAGCCTGTATTCCTGTCACAAAGAGCCACCTGTCACCTGCTTCCATGTTATTATACATACTATTTTCTGCTGCACAAAAAGCTTGTCCCCCCATTCACTGCCTTGGAAATTCTGCTCATTGTCCAAGATGCGTTGAGACTTGCTCCTTTACTCTCCACGGTGTCCCTAACCTGTTAGAGGAAACTTGGAGAGCCTCAAGGCTGCGGGCCATGTCATTCCATTCTGGCAAGAAGTGTAAAATCTGGCTATGGTTGGCCTCCCGTATGTTTTAGTCAACTTCCTTCCTTCTCCTGCTTCATCCTCAACAATTCTGATACACACACACACACACACACACACACACACATAATATGCATATTTTAGACATGCATATGCACACATATAGAGATCGGAAATGTATCCATACATATACACAAGAAGACATACATACACACATTAGCTCTATTTTAAAAATAAAGAAACTAAGGGACTCGTTTTTGGCTCAGTTGCTAAGCATCTGCCTTCGGCTCAGGTCCTGGGACCAAGCCCTGCGTCGGGGTCCCTGCTCGGCGGGAAGACTACTTCTCTTTCTCCCAGTCCCCCTTCTTGTGTCCCCTCTCACCCTGTGTCTCTCTCTGTCAAATAAATAAATAAAATCCTTGGGGAAAGAAAAAAAAAACTTAAAAAAAAATAAGGAAACTAAGTCACACAGAGATGAAAATGTCTTGGCCAGAGTCGTCCCCAAATGGCTGGGTCAGAACTCAGCCGCAGGCTTGCGGTGGCAGCGACGTGGTTCCGAGCCCTTTGTTACAGACTGAGCGGAGGAGCCCCCCAGAAGCAGGAAGTGGAGGGCCGGGTCCCCGGACACTGCGTCTGCCGGCCCCTGGGGCTCGCACCTCCGGCCTCCAGGCTGTGAGGATACACGTCTGTGGTCTGTAAGTCATACAGTCCGTGGTGACTCGTTACGGCAGCCTGAGCAGACCGAGACACCCCTGCTCCCCGCTCCCCACTCCCCTGCCCGCTCGGTCGCATCACCTTTCTGTTCGCAGACGAGATCTCGGAGCCTCCAAAGCCACCAGGTTCCGTCCAGAAGAGCCTCCCCTGGGCTACCATCTTCCCGTGCCCCGAGTGGACTGTGAGGAGGGGTGGGCTCAGCAGTCTCTCACCTGCTCACCTGTACTAACCAGCGTGCTGTTGTTGTACAGGGTCCCCAGGTGAGGCCCAGACAGCGACAGGAACGTGTGGAGTTTGTTGAGGTAATACCGGAACCGCGGCCGTGTGAGGACCGACCGGATGATGATGTTGCCAAGGGAATGGCCGATGAAGCTGCCAGGACAGGACTGCACGTGAGTGTGGCCGCGGTGGGCCAGCTGCTGTGCTGCGGGCGTGAGGGGTCCCGCCATCCCCCACCCCGACTCGGGGGCTCTGGCCAAGAGAATGGGGGCTGCCAGCCCACCCTCCCTGGGCTTCCAGCCTCTGGCCACAGTGAGCTTGGGACGGGGACCTCGGGCATGAGGCCTCTGCTGCCCAGTGTGGTCCGAAGAGAAGTGCGGGCGTGTGGCCGGGCTCCATTAGGAAATGAACCCCGACCGTGCCCTGTGCCTTGTCTCCAGCCGCCGGGGGGTCCTGGCCTTCACAGGATGAAACCCCACTTCCTTGGCCTGGCTGATGAGGCTGCTGGGGACCTGACTTCTGACTCGCTCTGCGATTTGATGCATCACCCATCGTCATTCCAAGTGTATGGAGTCGCCCGCTGCTGGCCCGCACCCTTGGTCGCCCCTCCTGCACCCCAGCTCCAGTCGCACCGCGACTCACACATCTGAGGACCCAACACGGCACAATTTTCTAACTGAATACCTCCTTACGGAAACCCTATCCCTTGAGAGGTCCATGGCTCTGCTCACAGTGAGCCCAGAACAGGCCGAGAAAGGAAATGAACATTCGTCTATGAAATGGCTTTACCCAGATTTCCACCCCATCTCTACAAGCCTCTGTCTTCTCATTTGTGGAATAAAGAACGGATATTTTATCTCTGGGGCCTCGAAGGACTGATGCACGTGGACCCACCACTGTGTCCACAGACTGTAGGTGCACAGAAAACACAAGCCATTGCCCCTCGCCTTAACCAGGAAACATTTCGGCCGAGCTCATTTCAGAGTGGAAGGACCGAACAAGTGTGGACCGCAGGCCTCTCCTGGGGCAGGCAATGCAGTCCGCTGTTCCCCACCCGATGCCAGTGCTCGCCCCGCCTGGCAGGCAGGGAAATGGAGGCTCAGAGGTTTAGAAAGCCAGAGACAGGTGGCACGGTAGAGTCAGCCCTCGGACATGTGAGTGTTGGAACAGCCGTTCAAACCTAGAATTGTGTCGTAGTCCAGTTCCCTTTCTGCTGAGCTGGGAAATGCCTCTGCTCCCCCACTCCCTTCTGCTCTGAAAGTCGTCTACTTCAGTAAGTCACAAGTTAGCTTATGAAGGTGGTAGTCAGAAGGCAGCATGCCGAACTTGTCTACGGCCAACACCCAGAAATGCCTCCCCTTTTCCCCCAGCATTAACTACCTGTGGTTTCCTTTTACCTAATTCGGGATATGGAGAGGTTGTACAACTGGATGTGCTGAATGATTTCATCCAACAACCGATCCGTCATGGTATCAAAATCTGCAAACGTGTCCATCTGGAAGAAGAGAGAGGGGCCGGGTGTTGGGTGAAGTCACAGAAAGGCCAGGCTCTGCGGGAGCCCGCCTTCTTCCATGGTGCCGCATTCTGGAGCGCGCCTAAGCCTGACGGGGTAACAGGTGGGGGTTCAGCACCGAGGACGGGGCCCCTCGATCGGGGCTCTCAGGAAGAGACTCAGGATGCCAAGAGACCCTCAGTCAGGAGGCTGGCTGGAAACAAATGGGAGAAGCTGGCGGACAACAGCAGGCACACGGCACCGACGGACACATCATCAGTCTCCAGGGACTGCATCTGTCTGCTGCCCACTGGCCTCATGGCACCAAGAGGAACCAGGCTCTAAGGGTGAGCCTGTGCCCCCAGGACTCACACCCAAACCCGCCTGGCCCCGGAAGCCTGCTTTCTTCCCAGCACAGCCTTGGGACTGCGCTACAAGGCCATGTCTAGAGCAGGGTCCGAAGCCCTCCAAAGTGACTCCCCAGGGACGGTCAGAGGACACACGCAGAAAAGGAAGAGGAGAAACGGCGGACATGAATTTGAAAACCTGAAAGGGCAGACATGAGGAAGACACACTAGATTGGTGGCCAAACTTTTGGAAACTGATGGGAACCACAGGAAGAGAGACTTGAGGCCAACACAAAACACACTTTGTCATCATTAGAGTTGTCCTTCAGTGTCACGGGCTACGTGGAACTGTGCTGAGCACCAAGCCACAAAGGTGGACGAGGGGTTTCGTGAATATGTGTCAGGCGAACGGCGAGGGAGCCTGTGGTGGGTTGTCACCTGCCACTCTATCGCCCTAGAGGCACTGCAGGAATGGAGCGTTGTGGTCACTTTTTCAGTGTCTATGGAGTAAGAGAGCTTTAAGCTCGCCGGCCGGCAGGCGAGCTCTCCTGCTCACAGGACCTGTGCCTGGGGCTGCTCTTCCCAGTGCGAGCCTGTCTCCTCCCGAGTCCTGCAGCCTACTCCACAGCAGCGTCAGGCTTAAACTGTTTATAACACGCTGCTGTGTTCGTGATGCTCCAGCCTCTCAGGCCCTGTCTCCTCAGCTACATCCTGTGAATTGCGCATGGATCATTGAATCAACAGCAGTAATTATAAGGCCTGAGTTGACCTTAATGTGCGATATTCTGGAAGACACAGTAGGCTTAAAAATCGTGCCAAGAACTGCCCAGCCAGGGTGATTTTAAAAGGATGTAGTGGAAATCCACATGTCTATGAGGTTTACAACTTTTAGGCAGTAATGACATGTCGTGGGACATAATCCTTCCTGAGTGACCAGCTCCCCCACCCCACCCCACCCCCGGCCACCATCTCACTCCTGTCTGGACCCGTCCAGTAGTCACTATGGAACCCCACTGACATCCCTTTGCCACCGGAGCTGCATCACAGAGGCTAAGTTAGCCTGTGACCATCCCCTTCACCCAGTAGAGACCCACAGACACCTGAATCTTGTATGATCCCAGCTGTCATCTGCCCTAGCACCCTGGCCACCTGACCCACGTGTCCCCACTTCTTACTCATTCTTTCCCCTCCCAAAGGAAATGATGATCTTCCCGGACCACCCAGTGCTCCTTGGCAGGGTGCCCTTCTACGGGAGTGTCCACAGATCATCGGGGGGGATTTTAGGAGGCTCTTCCAGACACGACTCAGCGATCCTCTCAGTCCTGATGTGTCTATTTGTTTGTTTTTGTCATACCTGGTTCTTTTCGGACATTAGGAAGTCCAGCTTTCCTCCAGGAAGCCCCAGTTCGATGAAAGTCTTTACCAGGCGGAGGTCGGCACTGTTTCCTAAAAACGACAGATCACCCCACCCCAGACCCGTAGTTACTCATATCAGAAAGGACACACAAGGGATTTAAGTCCCCCTCTTCTCCCATCCACCCATCTTCCACTTTTTCATTAAGCAGATAACAAAAAACAGTGAAAACGGGCTCATCCTAGTGGTCCCAGGCTCCCCCTGCCCCCGACACAAGGTCAGGGCCTTTAGAGCAGTCCTACCTCTGTGGACTTCCTCCCTGAGCTGCAAACACAGGGCTCGTGAACATTGCACGCAGAGCACTAATGGAAGCACACTGAATCCTCCCCGTCCACAGCCCACTGTGTTCAGTGAGGCCGCTCTGCATGGGACGCCCCAGCGGGGGGGGGGGGGGGGGGGATGTGGCACAACCCACATGTCCCCACTTCCTCCAAAGACCAGCGGCATCATCCACAGGCAGCAGGCGCGTCCCCCGGAGGGCCAGGCAGGACGCAGTTGGGGGTGAGAGAGTGAGCATGGCCCTTGGGAACCAAGGTCATGGCCGTGCCAGCTGCGTGGATGCCACCCGCCCCACTGTGACCACAGGACCGAGCAATCACAGCTCAAGATTCTGAGGCCCCTGCTGAGGGCAGCGGACCCTTTAGCACCCACAGCAAAGATCACGTGAAGGACACTATAATGAGCTTCAGAGTCAATGATTTTTCAGTGTAGATTTCATGCAGTTGGTTGGTTGGCCGTATTGTACTGAATTTTTCACCTATGCATCAGAGGGATCCCTGCAGAGTCGAAAGTTAGAAGCTAGTTAGTCTGTGGAGGGGCGCCTGGGTTGCTCCGTCGTTAGGCATCTGCCTTCGGCTCAGGTCGTGATCTCAGGGTCCTGGGATCGAGCCCCGCATCGGGCTCTCTGCTCAGTAGGGAGCCTGCTTCTCCCTCCTCCTCTCCCCCTGCTTGTGTTCCCTCTCTCACTATCTCTCTCTGTCAAATAAATAGATAAAATCTTTAAAAAAAAAGAGAGAGAGAGAAGCTCGTCAGTGGATAGGGGACCTACCTTTCCCTACAACCAGAGTTTCAAAGTAGGGAGTAAACTGTGGGTAATATAGTTTACTAATATCTCATATCCTTCTTCATGGAACTACCAATTTGAAGGATGGTGGGAGCACCACATGGCCCAGGGAGAGCTAGGGGTATGGGAGGGTATCCCTAACCACTTAGGGACGACCCAGTATCCCCACACGCTCCCTATGATGATGGCCTGCAGAGCGGAGGACCAAACCCGTGGGGTCACAGTCACGAAATGCTCATGTTCTTTTAGGGAGGTTCCTATTTTGTGTTATTAAGTGAAATCTGATTCACTCTTTTCATTTCTGACGACAAAATTGGGCTCTTTGGTCCTGTCGTGGTTCTTATGTAAAGCGACCTACCGATATTCCAGGGCCTGGACTTAAAAGAAAAGCAGCAGGGTTTATATTTCGCCTAAGGAGTGTAAATAAGGGATGATAACGGCCGCTCTCCTTCAGCTCCTAAGAGAGACAGACTCTCCGCAACTTGGAAATACAATTTGATGGTACACTGAGAACATCTTGCAAGGACACAGATCTCCGGCCTTCGGTGCATCATGAAGAAGTATGTGGATATTCCTAACGCTTCACAACTTCTGCAGTCCTCTGCTGATATAAGTAGGTCCTTGCCACTGAAATTCAACAAATGGGTCCTGTACAACTCTGTAGCATCTGGACCTCTGTGACCCTGAATCAGAGAAGCAGCCATCAAGAGAGGCCTATGCGTGGTCTTGGCTGTGTTTGCGATGACCGTAGGACCAGGCAAGAACGCCGTAAGGGACAGCTCCAGTTTCTGACCCTGCACAGACACTGAGGAAGCTGCTGTGCCTTCACACCCTCCCTCTCCCACACGCAGCATGGGCGAAAAATAAGTGTGTGGCCTGACAAGATGTCTCATCTTAACGAAGAGACTGAGAGCCTTTCTCATTTTGATTTAGTGTCAGATAAGTACAACGGACATCCGGTCATGTGTGATATGAAGCTAAGTCGTCTGTAACACCTGTGCTACAAGGGCATCATGAGGAGGAGTGAGAAAGTCGTTCTCTGTCTTTGTTGCAGTCTTTCCGATGGCAAGTCCCAATGAGAAACAGGATGTTCTCAGGGGTGCCCGGGTGGCTCAGTCAGTTGGGCATCCAACTCTTGGTTTCAGCGCCAAGATCTCCAGGTTGTGAGATGGTGGTTCCCACCAGGCCCCATGCTCGGCACGGAGTCTGCTTGAGATTCTTTCCCTCTGCCCCTCCCCCATGTGTGCTCGCTCTCTCACTCTCTCTCTCTCATAAATAAATAAACCTTAAACAAACCAACAAAACCCCACAAGATGTCTTCAGTAGCTTTTTACTTTTTAAGAGAGAAAAGTGAGTCTCAAGCCCAGTCTTCTGACAATGGGGCCAAACTTCAGTAAGATTATTTTCCTATCGTTGTAATCATTTTTAATATTACTCTTCATGTGTGCCAGCTGGTTCTAGTATTTCACTTGTGGTCGTGATTTGAAGTTTCTTCTTTTTTTTTTTTAACAAATATATTCAAAAAGTATGCCAATTTCAATACAGATTTTGAAATCCCAGTACAGCGTACCTGGATGGAGTAAAATTAGGGAAAGGGATGTGAAGAGCGGGGACTTGGGAAGCAGTAACATTGATGCTGAGCAGGACAGCCCACCAGGGGACCTGGGGTGACCAGATGCAGTGATGTAGGTTGGCATGAATCCCTGGGGAAGGTGTGGAGCTGATGCAATCCCAGGAGGGAAAGGCTGGGAGATGATAGTGGGGAGGCTCAGAACACAGGAGCTTTCTAAGACAGAAGTTTATTCTATTTTCTGAGAGCTCTAAAGAAAGATTTTTGGTAATGGACTGGCACGACCAGATCTGGTAAGATTTCTAAAAAGATGACTCAACAGCGATGGGGATGGTGCTTTGGACAGAGGAAGAGATGAATTCGTTGGCATAAGGCAGAATGAAACCATGGGCTCTGGAAGCTGACAGCTGGGTTTTAACCTTGGCTCAACCACATTAGCTATGGGGATTTAACCCAAGTTCCTTAGCTGGCCTCTTTCACAGTTTCCCCAGTTACAATGGGACAACAGTACCACCTGCTCTACACAGATGTTGTAAGGACTGATGACATTAATGGACATTCAGCATCTAGAAGTGTGCCTGACCTCTGATGAGTGATACACCAAGGCTGCTGCTCCTTCTCTTCTTCCTCCCCCTCCTGCTCACCCAGAAAGTATCATTTACCACTGGATTATCTGACACTTTGCCAAGTACACCTGTTGACCAAGCGTCCCAGTATCCACGGCATATAGCCAGCCAGTGAAATGCATTAGCCCCTGGATTGGGAATTAAGGATATAAAGAACAGTGTGTTTGATAAGTTCTTTATAGATTTTTGGATACTAGCCCTTTATCTGATAAGTCATTTGCAAATATCTTCTCCCATTCTATCAGAAAGAACAAATAATCCAATCAAGAAATGGCCAGAGGACATGAACAGACGTTTCTGCAAAGAAGACATCCGGATGGCCAACAGACACATGAAAAAGTGCTCCATATCACTTGGCATCAGGGAAATACAAATCAAAACCACAATGAGATACCACCTCACACCACTCAGAATGGCTAAAATTAACAAGTCAGGAAATGACAGATGTTGGCGAGGATGCAGAGAAAGGGGAACCCTCCTACCCTGTTGGTGAGAATACAAGCTGGTGCAACCACTCTGGAAAACAGCATTGAGGAGGTTCCTCAAAAAGTTGAAAATAGAGCTATCCTACTACCCAGCAATCGCATTACTGGGTATTTACCCTTAAGATACGAATGTAATGATCCGAAGGGGCACGTGCACCCGAATGTTTATAGCAGCAATGTCTACAATAGCCAAACTATGGAAAGAACCTAGATGTTCATCAACAGACAAATGGATAAAGAAGATGTGGTGTATATATACAATGGAATACTATGCAGCCATCAAAAGAAATGATATCTTGCCATTTGCAATGCCGTGGATGGAACTAGAGGGTATTATGCTGAGTGGAATAGGTCAATCAGAGAAAGACAATTATCATATGATCTACCTGATATGAGGAAGTTGAGAGGCAAAGTTGGGGGTTGGGGGGTAGGGAAGGAAAAAATGAAACAAGATGGGATTGGGACGGAGACAAACCATAAGAGACTCTTAATCTCACGAAACAAACTGAGGCTTGCTTGGGGGTGGGGGGTAGGGAAAGGGTGATTGGTTATGGACATTGAGGAAAGTATGTGCTACGGTGAGTGCTGTGAAGTGTGTAAACCTAGCAATTCACGGGTCTGTACCCCTGGGGCTAATGATACATTATATGTCAAAAAAAAAAAAAAAAACAGTGTGTCCTGGGAGCATAGCACACCACCAGTCCCTACTACATGACCCCCAGAAGATGGGGAGCACAGGTTTTCCTCTCATGACCCGTGAAGCCCTAGAGGAGTCCCTTCCCTTCTCTCACATTAGTTGTGCATTGGAGTCTATATAAAGTAGACTTCAAGATTCTTCCAAAAATCATGTTCCACATTCCAGTTTTCATATCAATTAGGATGTCAACTTGAGCTTGAGGAGAACTCAAATACCCTGTACCTCCAGCTGATCTGACCACTTCCTTCAGCCAGTTAGGGAGAGGCTGGAATTCACAAGGGCAATCAGGACCACGTGCTTGCCTTTGGTCCAGACTGAGCCAGGACCTCAAGATCTTCCAGCAGAGCAGTTAAGTTCTGTATCTTACAGAGCCTTTGAACTGACCAAAGAAATGAAAGAAAGCTAACACAGGGTCCTAGGTCATTTGGGAGGTGGGGTGGAGAGAAGGAGCCCTTCCTACTCCCCATTCTCTTTCCTTGGACTCCTGTATCAGTGGGAGATAGTTCTTCAATAGCATTTGGTTCTCGGTCTATATTTGCTGATCTCATGAAATTAAGAACTTTTTAAGAAGAGGAACCATGTTGGGTCTCTGCAATCCCAGAACTTGGTACAGCATCTGATATGCAAAAATTGCCCCATACGTAAGAGATTAATAAAAATAGACAACAAAACAGTTTGGGATAGTAGACTGAGCTCGTCCCAAATGTATCCACACATTCATTGCTCTCCATTTCTTTCCTGTTCTGTGGGCTCATGGGTCCCATTAACCTATACATTCTAACTATTCACATATCCCTTGACATTTTCATTTCAATAATCTATCCACCCATCCATCCATACACTTGCTCCATTCCTTTTTTTAAATTTTTGTTCATTAGTTTCATTAATTATTCATCCCATTTCTTCATTCATTCCATTGTTTATTTATTCCATTTATTCCTTCATTGCGTTATTGCATTCATTATGAATTTCATTTACTCAACAGATTTTTGTGCAAGAGAAATCTCTTCCTTTGGGACAAGGCCAGGTCATTTCCCTAGACCCAGCATGCTGCCCTCCCATGGTTACCAATAACACTGTTGAAAACATACCTGACTTAAATTCATTCATAAATCTTATAAATTTTCTACAGTAGAGAATTTTTTTAAAGATTTTATTTATTTATCAGAGAGAGAGGGAGAGAGAGTGAGCACAGGCAGACAGAATGGCAAGCAGAGGCAGAGGGAGAAGCAGGCTCCCTGCCGAGCAAGGAGCCCGATGTGGGACTCGATCCCAGGACGCTGGGATCTTGACCTGAGCCAAAGGCAGCTGCTTAACCAACTGAGCCACCCAGGCGTCCCTACAGTAGAGAATTTTGAGGAGGAAACCTTTCTGGGGACTCACCATCTAGGCCATGGACACAGACTACCAGGTGAATCCCATCTTCCAAATTTTCTTCCTCTTCCTCTGGTGGGAAATACGGTATATCAGAAGCTAGTACAGATAAGTCACTGTACAGAAATCCATCAATCTTCAGTTCTTTTTTAAATTTTTCTTTGGCCTGATAAAAACTGGAGAATACACTAATTAATCAGAAGCCACACTGTGTATGCCATGTTGAGCAGAAGATGAATTGAGCTAGCTGGGCTGTGGGAGTGATGAACATCTACAAGGAATTATCTGCGAGCAGCAAAGGCATTATATGAGGCCTCAGGAGATGCTGGGGATGGAAGCTTTTTCTCAACCAGGAGGCAAGAGAGTAACCCACAGAAAGTTTTCTGAGGTTTGGGTTCTACTGATTTCTATGTGCTTCCTGCATGGAACAGGATGCCTAAGATTCCATTCAGCTCCAAGGATCCATGCAATCCTGGAAAAGATCTCCCCAGAGTGAAAGCTTCTCCAGGTGGCCCACAGGCTACCATGGCTTGGCTTCCACCTGCTTCTCAGCAGCATCTCCCAGCCTCCAGAGAGAATACATTTCTCAGGATTCCCTTACTAAGGAAGTTTGCTTACTTCCATGCCTTGGTGCATTCAGTTCTGTCTGAAATGTGTTTCCCACTGGGTTATCATGATCTTTGCCTGATTATCGGACAAGGTGATGATTAAGAACCTGGACTCAGAAGTGGGACTGCTAAGGTCAGAATCTCAGCTTTGACACTTACTAGCTGTGGGTCAACCACTTAACCTCTCTGCAATGGGTGTCTTCAATTGTAAAAGGGGAATACACCATTATCTAATTCATAAAGCTATTTTGGATGTTAAGTGACACAGTCTATGCAAGATGCTTAGAACAGTACTCAAAACTAAAGAGTTAAAAAAAATGATCTATTACCAGCCTTATCACCATCATCCCCATCATCTCCATCACCACTGTGTCTCTTGTATTTGCTCTGTGGTCACCTCTAAAAGGATTCCCCTGACCCCCATCTCTATGCATGCTCGCTGCCCTCAGCCAGACTAGGTCCTCTGGCTCAGCTGTGCACACACACAGGAACTCTCCTGTTTACCCAGCTAACCCTTGTTCACTTCTCTCATCTTTCCATCTCCTTATTAGGCTGTAAGGACAGTAAGTGACCTTACAAGCCAGGCACTGGGCAGTGCTTGCTATCTATGTATTAAATTTATGCCATGAGCATAACAGGTACTTAACATTCTTTATAAAGCAAGGAATCCAAGTTCACCTGCCTGTGTAACCTCATTCGTGGGTATCAGTAATATGTAACTCTTCAGCATTATGCAGAAGAGTGATAAAAGGATGCTATAAGATACTTAATCAAATGTATAGTTTATAGATGAGGGAGCAACATGGATACAACCCTAATGTGAGGGTGAAGGGACGGAGTCTGGCTTTGCAAAAGAAATGACCTGCATAAGGACACCCTCAGGGGCTGAGGAGGAAAATCTGATGAAGATTCCCCCAGAGGCCTTTAAAGAATGGCCCTGTCAAAATATGCAAAGACAGAGGTATGGTGACATTCATAATGGAGTTGTTTATCATAATAATAACTAAAAAAATATCAAGGGTCCCTCTCTAAAGGAGTTTGTTCATAAATCACAGTACATATAGAAATGTTCCCAATATATTAAGTTGAAAAAACCTTGCAGTCTGTGCAGAATTACTCTTTTTTGCATAAGAAGAATATTAGAGACAGGCACACAGAAAAAGGGCAGAAGAACTTACACAGTGACTGTATTTGAGAGATAGGCTTGCTGGTAGATTTCACCTCTACTATTCTCTATCTCTGACTTGTAGGACATAAATATAATACTTGATCTAAATCGGAAATTAACTCCTATCTCAGCGTTGAAATAGTATGCATGAATCTGAGCAATGTGTGGGGAATCCAGAACCCTGCTGGGTGGGTAAGTCAGCAGTCAGCTTACCTGTACATCCTCTCACTGACTTCTTCCTCCAACTTGCTCGAATGGGTGGAGACAACTCCAAAGGAACCCAAAGGTTGATGAGTGATGGGCAACGGGGTCTGCTTGGCAGAGTATCCAGCCCGGGCAGGGGTCTCCTTGGGCACAGATGAGAAAGGGAGACATGTGGCAGTGCAAGACACGGACAGGTTGACGACCTCCACGGCTTTCAGGCTGTCCAGAGTGAAGGTCTCCACTGAACCCAGGTGAGACGCCATGCCTGTCTTTGGCTCTTGGTTTCCTAAAACCTGGGAGTGAATGGAGGGAGTCACAGTGGAACCTAAAGTGCCTGCTTCACATCCAGCCTCCAGACAAGCTTGAGTTCCTTCACTAAAAGCTGCATCATCGACGATGCCTGGTGAGCTGTTCTGCTTGTCTGGTGAGCTGTTCTGCTCGCTTGTGGACTCCAGGTCACTGGCATCAGCAGCTGTCCTAGAGTTCCACTCAGGCACCTTATGGTGGGCAATCGTCTCATCATCTGAGATGCTACTGTTGGAAGGAGCATCATTCTCCACATTCAAGTCTTCAGGCTTGCCCTCTGGGGTCTCCTTTAGTACTCTAGGACAAGATCCATGCCTAGGGTTTTCAAGTGCAATGATACGTGGTATTTTTACATTAAGACCTTTGGTTTCAACACCTGGAGGGGTCTCAGTCCTCCCATCAAGACAAGAAGGTTCTTGAGGATCAAACTGACTCTCTGTACCTTTGGGGATGTCTATGTAACCAGGGACCTGCTGGCCATCAGCACCTGAAACCACCTGCACAAGGGAATGGTCTGCCCCAGCATCCTGGATTCTGGATCCCGGGGAGTCTACACTCTCCATGGGTATGGCTGAACCTTCAGCAAGACCTCCACCTTCAGCAGACTCCTCTGGGCTACTGATTTGGGGTGCAGACACAGACTTGGTCAACTTGGTGAGTGCCAACTCCCGTTCTTCCTCCTCAAAGGGCAAAGAGCAAATGGAGGTGAGAGATGCCTGGATCCCACTCGGCAAACTCGTATTGCTCTCTGTGTGTCCACCCTCTAAGGAGTTCCTGTGCAGGGCATGTCTTCGAACCAGATGGTGCAAGACTTCCCGGTCACTGGGTAACTCCAGGGCCCTGCTTCGCACCTCGGACCAGGCAACAGAGCTTGGCTCACTCTCAATGCCTGAATCGGAGATGATGGAAGAAGATCTCTTGATGACCCCGGAGAGCACCGACACTTCTTCCTGCTCCTCTGAGTGAGGATCTTTTGGGGAAGCCCTAACATCCAAGGGATCCCTCAAAGTTGAGTTTAGTGGATCACAGGGCTCGGAGGGGATGAGTTTCAGACTCAGCAGTGCCATCTTGCCCTCCTGGTCTGCAACCTTTCCTAGAGTACTTAACTCATGCAGCGTTGTTTTCTCTGAAAGGATGGCATTTTGGTGACCTCCCCCAGCTACCTCTTGGCTTGGTACAGCTCTGTCCGATTCACAGCTATCTGGAGAGTGCCCACTCTCCTGCTGAACACTAATGACCACTGTGGGTTCCACACTACAAGGCCTCTTATTGCTAGACTTCACATCAATGTAGGTGAGTGCCGGGGCCTGGCCATCCTCTAGACCTGGACTCCTTCTGGGCGGGTCCTCATCTGCCAGTGAAAGTGTTCCAACATCAGATCTCTGGCCAGTCCAGCATTCCTCTTCAGGCAAACCTGCTTTGTTCTGGGATTCGCCAATTGTCAGATACACCTGAGATTCGGAGCACGTGTCCATACATTGTGGTGTGATTACTTTGTCCTCTGGCTCTGGACACCTAATAACTTCCGTATCAGAGTCCGCCTGGGGTGGTTTCATGGTGGGCAAGACAAGGTCTTCCCTGAAAGGTGATTTTCTATTTACAGTAGGGTTCTCTTCTCTGTTGTTTAGATTCGTTATTGCGGGACTTGTTGGAACGTCAAAATTAGGATAAATACTCAAATTGTGCCCTACAAAAAGGAAAGAAAGAAAGAAAGAAAGAAAGAAAGAAAGAAAGAAAGAAAGATGTATTATAGATTAAGAACCTATATTCACAAACTATCCAAAAGCCTGACTGTATAATAAAACATTTGGCTGAACTTTGTTCCTGGTTCTTGGGGGACAACCACTGTATTCATGGAATTTCCCAAGTGATGGAAGGGTCTTTGTTATTGGTGGCAGGCCTGGAAAGCTTATACTAACCAGGTGACTCATGATCAGCCCTTTAGCCTTTAGTAGTTTATGCTAAGGAGATGAGTCAGGATGGGGGCTGGCTATGCCAGAAAGACTAACTATTTGGTCAGAACTTTGAGCCCATAGTACCAGTATGAGCTCTGGGGAGAGTGGTTCAATCGTGTGGCCAATGATTCAACCAGCCATGCCTAGATCATGAAACCCCAATAAAACCTGTGGACCCTGGGGCTTGAGGAAGCTTCCCCAGGGGGCAATACACATTGATTTTCCAGGAAGACCAGTCCCAGGGCCTTGGGATCTTCATATTTGGAACCCTTCCAGACCTTGCTCTACTGGGGTCTTCTTTTGGCTGGTCTTTGTTTATTTCCTTTATATTAAAGCAGTAATCCTAGGCAGAGCACTTTCCTGAGTTCTGTGAATTGTTCTAGCAAACCATTGAACTGGAGGGAGTAGTGGGACCCCCTGAATTGGTAGCCAGTTGGCCAGGAGGGCAGGTGGCCTAGGAACCCCCAAGCTTTTGTCTGACATGAGGGCATCTTATCAGAGGCCGTGCCCTAACCTCTTTGACCTAACACCAGGTAATTCATGTCTGAATCACCCTGCACTAATGCAAAACTGTCAAATACTATAATTCATGATTTGCCTTTTACTTATCAAACCAGTTTTAAACAATTACTACTTACACCTATTAAAACATTTCTCTGTATCATGTATAGTATTTACAGTGTAGAAAGAGCTTTGGACCCAGGAAGACCTGCTCTCCGGTCCGGACATGGGCAGCCACCAGCCGTGAGGCCTTGAGCAATGACAGGACTTAAATAAGTTGTTTTTGTTTTTCCCATTCGAGCTCACTTTGCTCAACTCTGGGTAGGCAGATTCACAGCCACCAGCAGGCCTCAGAGACATGGCTCACAGGACAGTGATGATGGGAACCATCACGTGGGGAGGACAGATTCCTGCTTCTGTACAGAAACCCTCTGAGTCTGAGCTCTGTCACCAGGGCAGTCATCCTGCACGGCGTTCAGACCACAGAGACTCCCGCATCACTCTGATCTTCCCTGTAGGATGGCGGGGTCCACGCGGGACCTTCTTCCTCGCGTTTTTCTATAGGGTACACTATTGTCTCTCTTATCCTATCTCTCCTTCCTGTCTCTCTTTTCTTTTGTCTTCTCTTTTTCTCCTGTCCCTCCTTCTGCTCCTTCTCCTGTCCCTCCTTCTCCTCTCGTCCCTCTTCCCACCCCTCCTGCTGCTCCTCCTCCCTCTCACTTTCTCTTTCTTTTCCTTCTAATAAAGCATAAAGGGAAGAAAACAAGAGTCTCCCATAGCTCTCTTAGAAAAGACATCTGATATGTTACTCCATGTCCACATACAGCAGACAAAAAAAGAGGGGACTGGGCTTTTATTTTATTTAAAACTTTTAAATTCTTTGGATGGTTTTCATAGAAGTTGAAGGCCTATAACCACTATGGGATGTTATGAGGTGAACCACTGAGACACTTACAAACCACATCACCGGCTCACACCTCGGGGTGAAATTTACGACTGGGTCAGGATTAGAACAAAGATCTGGAAATAACGGGTCTCTTCTTTATGTGGATATGTTCTTCAGATCTTGGGACTGAGCAAATTTCTCTTTATCTGGGGCCTTTCCCATAGCCAACAGTGGGTTAGAGGTTCTCTGAGCAAAGTCCCCACGTCCCCTCTATACACGTACTCTTCCGCCACCACCACACAATCCACCTGTGCATTTCCTGTCCCCACCGGAGAGAAGGGTTATGAAGTAGGAATACCGGCGTGCCCACGGCTAACAGCACGGCTGCCACACAATGAACTGTGTTCGTAAAATGAATTGAGAATAGAATGGAAATGCAACAGGACAAAGGCGATTTCTCTCACAAACTAATATTGCTTTGAAAAAAAACACAACATCGATGTTATTTAATCCATGAATAATTCATGGGCTGACTATGCAACAGCCTTATACTAGGCCATGGGTTAGGGAGAGGGAAAGTGGGGATCAGTTATAAAAATGAACTGGTCTCTGTCTCTAAGGGATTTCAAAATACTGGGAAGCATACGACGTGCGGTACAGTTGGCTCTCCTGCTGGAAGCATGTGGGCTGTATCCTGGAGAACATGAACTGGGTTCTTCAGAGAGGGAGTTCATGAGCCACACGAGGCAGACAGAACAGGAAGGGCCAAGCCCCAGAAGCCTGGGGTGCACAGTCTGGCCAGGTATCCGTTAGGTCCCATGTGGAAGGAGCAAGGGGGAGGGGTGTGGGTGTGAGATGGTCATGGAGTCAGCCGGGGGAGGGAAGCCATAGCCTGGACGGCCCGAGCGCCCCGCCCGAGTGAGGAGTCTGGTCTTTACATCACAGGCAGGGAGGACGGGCAGGTTCTCGGACCACAAATGAAAGATGCCTGTGATCTATCACTGACAATTGCAGACAGGACACAGAAAGGCCAGCGAGGAGGAAGACGGTCAAAATAGCACACTAGCTTCACGACCCCAACTGTGGGAAAATGAGAGTAGTAGAGGATCGAATTCCGAGAGAATGGATTTAGTCATTAGCCCAGGACCCTTATCTGCCGACCCTTATCTGTGACCTTTGTGCAGGTCGCTCTTAAGTGGTCTGTGGATGCACTTACCCGCTGCTCACAGTAGGCCTACGGGATAGAAATTACAATTCCTTGTGCCCAATTTAACAGTCACTAATGGCTGGAGCAAAGATTCCAACTGAGGCAGGCCGGCCAACTGTTAAGGCCCTTGGGTAGAAGGTTCAACTGCTTGGGGACAGAGGAGTAAGGGGCACTGGGGAGAAAGAACTGCAGACACTAAGGACAGAATTTGCAAGGCTCTGGGACACAGGAGGTATCTAGCCATGTGCTGTAGCAGACCATGAATCCATATTATTGTTTTTAATTTGGAAATGGGACTCTTTTGTTTCCCTTTCTTCACCATGCTGAAACGATGGAATGCAAATTGGATGACCTCATTGCAAATCACATTAAGGTCGCCAACCCCTGGAGGAAAAGGGGAAACAGTTCTTTATTTGCTAATGCTTTTGCTCTGAGATTAAAGAATCATCAGAACACATTGTGAAGGAAGAAAGAAGGTCAAGAAAAGTTTTGAGTGGGGAAGTCGTCTTGGGAAAAGGGAAGGGACAGGTGAGAGGTCTGTAAAGAGAAGTCTTCGGGAACAGCCAGCCCTCTGAGAGCGACTGCCTTGGGGTCCTTCTGGGAAGACGGGATCCTTAGTGCTGGGGCCGTAGACTCATCCAAGTTCCCTGTCCCAAATACCTTCCAGGAGCTGTAAGAGATGCTTCCTTTAAAACACAGAGATGGACAATAGGAGACTTCGAGGACTCTGCATGGGCAGATGGCCCCAGAAAGATCCCAAGCCATGTCCAAGTCTAGAGCACCAATGTGAAGGGCGGCAGAGAAGACCCAGACGGGACACCCACAAAAGCCAAGGCTGACTTCCCAGCAGGTGTGGCAGAACGGATGGGCTCAGGAGGTGTGAAGTTTTATAAAAAATAAAGATACGCAGTATAATTGCATGCGTGAGTTGCAGGACTGAAATTTGCACCCATTAGGGTGTCTATTCACCTGTAAAGGAAAACAGACTCAAGATCTTCTGCAAGGAAGCCTAATAGTGACATCTGAGGGTCTGATCACGGGGACTTATTGTAAATTTCTTCTCTACCTATTCAAGTGTTCTGTAGCTATAGTATATAACTTAAATGAAGATGAGCACGCGTGTGCGTGCGCGTGCACACACACACACAGCCTTGCTTCAAAGTATTAAGTGTTTTTTGAGCAGCTGGGTAGGTGGCCATCTCTAGCATGTGTCCCTTCTCGCTGTCATACCCAGTGTTGACGCTAGATGTCAGGGCACAACTGAGAATTCAGTACAATCTCTCCATCACAAAGTTGGACTGTCCTTAGAAGTCGCCTTGACTTTTGAAAAAGATCCTACAAAGCTCTGCCTACAGAAACTCCAAAATTTAAGTGGTGCCTAATTTAAATGATGGGCATCCCAGCATCACAGTTTGAAATGCCTCTCAAAGAGAGAGCAGGGCAGACCCTGGACCTTAGAGCTAGAAGGACTTGCTTTGAAAGTCTGTTTTTATAAGCTGCGTCTTTACTACGTACCTTTATTCATCATGCTTCAGCTTCTGTCTGTGAAATAGGGCTTACGGGGTTTTTTGTTTCATTTCGTTTCTAATAGGATTCAAAAGATGAAACATGTAAAACTTCCAACTAGCTGTTTTCTGGCTCTTTAAGGGATCATGGGTCTACTTCAGCTGTGATAGCTTTGGGTTTCCAGCAGCCAGGCTGTGGGAGCAGACAAGATTAACACCCATGGAATGCCCCGTGGGTACCAGGCTGATCTCCCACTGATCTGTCCATGCCCAAACACACTGCACAGCCCAACAAGACAGACCACGGTGGGGAGACCAACACGCAGACACACACAAGCATGCTGTCTTTTCTTCCCAGGGGAGCGGCTCATCCGCAAATCCAATCACGGATGCAGCCTGCTTTCTCCAGACATGAAGCAAGCATTCTGTAGGAGTCTGAACTGGATGTCCCCAAAGTCCAACGAGTCACGACTTTATATTTGAGTTCTGTCACTGAGATACAAACGGATGGCCATCCTTTGCCCAGGGTGAGGGGATATGGGAATAGCCACTTGCTAGGATTCGACCCTGGGGGAGTCAGGAAGGGGGTCTCTACCACGGCGACCCTCCTGTTGTGTCAATTTGTCAATGGCACCGACACAAGGTCATCTCAAATAACGAGTGTAGTCGGAGGGTTCGCATTTCCTCCATGAACGGACAAATTCCTTCCTTGATTTGGTTCCACTGCTGTTGGAACGTAAGGAGGGCAGCTGACTGGGACCCAACGAGAAGGCTTAGTCTTGAGTCTTTCTAGAACAAAGACCAACCTGTTGCAGGGCAGTCCACATATCTGTCCTCAAAGATAACCGGCAAGGTGTTCCAATCGCCGTCGATGTCCAGGCACTCCGCGGGCAGCGGGGGCATGGTGGTGAGGTACTCGGAGTTTCGGATGTCCAAAGACAGCTGGCTGTGGGTCTGTATCCTGGGGACACACGCAGCAGGTGAGCATTGGAGCAAGTTTTAAATGTGGAAAGAATCATTGCCCCATCCCCTGATCCTAAAAATACATCCAGAAAACATTCAGCAGGCTCTGACCATCCACTCCCTGTCTGTCCATCCTCTCTTCCTTTCTCCCAGCCACCTACCCAGCCCCAGTGGGGGGCACCCAGCCCAGAGCTCATAGATCGTATGATCAGGGACATATATCATGTTCTATTTCAGTGATATGCAGTAAATGCCTTTCCAGGGCAACAGGAGCTGAGCTTCTAAATGGCTAAGAATCTTAAATTAGTACTTAGGAGGAAAAACTTCAAGCTCTATATCTTCTACTCTTGCTTTTCTAATCTCTTATAGCATTTAGAGTCCGAATCCTATGTTGTGGCATTTGCATTAAGGACCATTTAAGATTTTTGTTTTGTTTTTTTGTTTTGTTTTTGTTTTTCTTGCATCATTGCTTACAGTGTGGACACCAGCATCCTGCATTAGCATGTAAGTGCCCCTAGCTCAGGAACCGTGAGTTATGATTTCTCCATGCGGGATTTAAAAATGCCCCATATTCTTCCTTCATAAGTCAAACCCCCTTCCACCAGCAGGAATTGGACTGCGGAGCTTGAAATCATCAGTAATCGTCATTCCAAAGACGGGATGGTAGGAAACGTTTACTCCCCTCTCAAGTCCCTGCAGAAGGAGTTAATATCCTCCCACGAAGGAGGAATGTTCACGTTTCATCATTCCCCGTTTCAGCTCCATCACTCTTAAACCAGAGGAGAAGCCTTATCGGGCTGGTGAGTCCGGGAGAAGAATTGCACATACCTAGCTAGCTTCTGTTTGTCTGTCTGCCTGACTGTCACTGCTTTTAGAGCAGCCTGACTTCTGGACGCCCCCACATCACTCCTCAGCCACGCCGGTCACCTGCTCCCACAGAACCGCTCATAGCGGCAGAACTGCACACAAGCCTAGGGAAAATTCTCATTCTGAGCTCCTGGGAACAATTATATTGAATGCACATAGGATACTTTGTTTGTGTATTTTGAATATACATATGAAATATGACTATTTCATTTCTTTCTTACTTTTCAACCGCATTTTAACCTATGATCGAGAAGGACAAGCGAGGTGAGACGTCTGGGCGGCCCAGTCAGTTAAGTGGCTGAGTCTTGGTTTTGGCTTGGATCTCGGGGTTGTGAGAGCAGGCGCACAACTTGTGTGCCCCTCCCCCTTGCTCTCCTCCCCACCTATCTCTAAAAAAGAAGGAAAAGGGTAAGCAATGTGTTTATGATCTTCCTCAAAGCCATGAAGCCTATAGCAGCTTCCGAATATTGTGAACCTTTCCCTCAATACTTATTTATTTATTTGTAAAGATTTTATTTATTTATTTGACACAGAGAGAGATCACAAGTAGGCAGAGAGGCAGGCAGAGAGAGAGAGAGGAGGAAGCAGACTCCCTGCTGAGCAGAGAGCCCGATGTGGGGCTCGATCCCAGGACCCTGAGATCATGACCTGAACCGAAGGCAGAGGCTTAATCCACTGAGCCACCCAGGCGCCCCTCCCTCAATATTTAAATGGAGTTTTGTTGCAATCAATCCTACGCTTCCTAGCTATCATCTGAACGTGGAACTTGTGGTCCAGTTTTTACTTTATTAAACTAGTACGCTCGCTGACTGGACACCCGTAGGTGGAGGACCCGGCCCCAGGTAAGGGCAGACACCTCCTGGATGGAAACTTCGTTCTGGACCTATAGACCTCACAGTCATGGATAAATAGGTGATTCATCAAGGAACCATCACCCAGCAGGAGAGGTGCTGCAGAGTCTGGTCCGGGTTTCCTTATGCAGCCAATGACCTCCTGCCAGAAGGTAGCTTCTTGACTTTGGGACTTTGTGAATGTGACCGAGTACCTAAAACAATGGTAAGGATGTGTTTAAACAAATGACTAAAAATTCTAGAGCACGTACACAATTTGGTCACCTCACACCTAGGATGGCTATTCTTAAAACCAAGAAAAAGCAAGCGCTGGTGAGGATGTAGAAACGTTGGAGCTCTTGGACACTGCTGGTGAGGACACAAAGCATCGCAGCTGCTGCGGAAACCGGATGGAAGTCCTGCAGAAATCTAAAAATAGAAGCACCATACAATCTGGCAATCCTGCTTCTGGGTATTTATCCAAAAGCATGGAAATTAGGGTCTGTAAGAGATCCGTGCCCTCCCACGTGCACAGGAGCTCTAGTCACAACAGCTTGGCTATGGAGACACGCTAAGTGTCCGTGAAGAGAAAGAGGATAAAGAAAACGCAGAACGATGGGATATTATCATTCAGCCTTAAAAAAAGAAGAAACCTTGTCCTCAGTGACAATGTGGACAAACCTTGAGAACATGATGCAAAGCCAAAGAAGTCGGCCTTACGAGGACAAATACTGTGTGAATCCATTTACAGAAGGAATCGAAAATAGTCAAATTCAGAGTCAAAAAAATGAAAGAGTGGTGGCCACGGGCTGTGTGGGGAACTGGGGAGATGCTAGGCGACAGGCATAACATTTCAGGGGACAAAGACAAGTGCTAGAGACCTGCTACGTGGAGCTCCCAGGGCCCAGGACATCACCTATTCATGTCCCTGACTCTGGGAGTACAGCCAACAACATGCAGACACTTCCATTTTGGATGTTGAGAAGTCCAGATTCAGCTTCTTAGGGTAACGGTTCACCACTATACAGAGGAATCACAGCTATATACGATACACTATAAGGACGCTAGGGGTGTGGGATTTGGACCTAGCAGATCTGTGTGTGCATCACATGCTTGCTGTGTGGTCTAAGATAAGTTACCTAACCTCTCTGAGCCGAGGTTTTCCCAGTCTCTTCTTCAGTGAAGTACGACACAGTTTCTAGCTCACAGAGTTAGCAAGGGCATTCAGTGAGCCAACACAGGAGAGCACTTAGCTGGACTTCTTACCCAAGGCATCTCCACAGAGAGAGCACCAGGAAGGCAGGGAGGGTGCAACACTATAGACATAGTGTCTTACAGAGTAAGTGATTTTTTAAAAAATCAGCATTACACTTATTACAACAGAAGAACCTAAAAGACAGAGTGATCAATCAAGTGTCATGGTTACAGGGGTTAGATCCCCAGGATGAGTCTTCTGGCACATGAACACCTCTGCATGCAGTCATTCGAGAAGCTCTCAACTGAGCCCCTCCTTTCTGTGTGAAGAGCACAGGCTAGACACGGGGAAAGCGGAAGAGAGAGACGATCAAACACATGCTTGCTACGAGCCAGTTCTAAACTAGTTCCAAACACTGCGACACTGCATTTAAAATACTGCGATCCACGGCAAGAAACAGCCTCCATGCTACACGGCCACCCAGTACCACCGCATGCTCCCAGAAACACACACCGAAGCAAGAGTTTCCGAAACACGTCCTACTGGTACTCCCTATCCCATCTTGTCCCAACCTATCCTATTTCATGTAGAAGTGCTGTCTCAAACCCACGACATGGATGTCACCGTGTACTAAATGACTGTGCCCCACTGTTCGAGAAATATAATCTGCTTTGAGCTTGAAGGAGATGGGACTTGAACTTGATGGTCTTGATAGATGAATGTCACTGGAACCACCTTGTACGTCCACTTGTCCATCCTGATTTGGGGGGATGGTTCTGTCCCCTACACACACCTTCCCTCTCCAGCTCCGACCCCCAGGTGGGTACACCCATGCCAGTGCACACTTGCTAGCTGGCCTCACACCGGCTCGCTGCCTCAATCTAGATGAAACCCCATTCATAGCATTTTGTCCCTTCCCTCCTGTAACTTTCTCAATCTGACATAAAATGCCCCTTTCAGTTCTATGCCTCTTACTCTTAATGACCTAAGTAAAAGTTTACTTCCTCCTGAATAATATTGCTTCTAACCTTGTGTATGCCTGACCTTACAGGTTAATATCCACTGGTGGGCACTACTCAGTTTTTCTACAGCTACTCTATGAGACAGGTGTTCTGGTCTCCTGCAAATTTGCAGGGCTCAGTTCGTACCTGCTTCAGACCTCTGGCCCCATGTCATCTTCTCAGGGACCCTCCTGTGACAGCTCAAAGGAAATGCATTCTCCATTCTTACCACACTGACATATTTCTCATTGCTACTTACTGTGTGTGCGTATCATAGTTATTTATTTATGTGCCTTCTGCTCTTAAAATATAAGCCCCAAGAGATATCGGATTTGTCTGTCTTGGTCACTGCTGGTTACCTAATGCCTGGAAGAGTGTCGGGCCCATAGTCAGCACTGAGTGGACATCTGTTGAAGGAAGGACTCTCCTTGTTACGTCTAAGCAGCCACCGAAGGAGGAGCAGGAACTGGTCTTATGTCATAAACCTTGTAAGTTCCAGGACCGAGATTTCAAACCATGTATGTAAGTTTGAGATCAGGTCTTTCCACCATACTATTTGTTGGCTTTTTAAAAAGGCTTTAATCATAACCGTCATGGTACAAAGTCTGAATTCTGTGTCCTGGTCCATAAGGTCCCACAGCTGGTCCCTACCCACCTCCCTGGTCCTGCCTCCCTCCCCTCTCCTTCCTGCTCACTCCATCCTATAGCTACACTTGTCTTCCTGCTGTTCCCCAAACACTCCCTATTCCTGTAGAGCAGCCTCGACACCAGCTTTTCTCTGACTGGTCTTCTTTCCTATCAAGGTCTGGCTGATATAACCCTAGTCTCTACTCAAATGTCCCATCCTCAGAGAGACTCTCTCCCAGCACTTTGGCTGAAACAGTCCTTATCCCACACCCAGTGTCATGGGAGGTGCTCCCATCAGCTTGCAAGAGCCAACTGCGCACATCTCTTTCCAGCCCCGTGTGCAGAGATGGCATCTTGGCAGCATGACAGTGACCACTGTGGGAGCATTCACGCAGCGGAAATAAGCAAACGCTACAGACCCAAGATGTTTGTTTCTCTGAGAGCTCGTCCTTCAACATTCATGAGGACACTGGTCATATCCTTTCCCGTCATGTTCTGTGTCCTCACTTTGATTTGCTTTTCTTTACTTGTCGCTACCCGAGATAATTCGATTTACATCTTGCCTGTTTCTGCCCTAGAATGAGAGACCCGCAAGGACAGTGTCTTTAATGTGTTCCCCGTGGTGTCACAGTGTTTACATGCACAATCAACAGTTGTGTAACGTATAAGTCATCACCTAACATTTCTGAGCAGAGTCTGTGGCTTGAACAGTGTGTTCCATGGGCATGGATGTTCTCATTTGGCCCTTACAGCTCTTACTCTGCCCATTTTAGGGAAATTAAGACTAGAGGAGGAGAAGGAAAAAAACAGAAAAAAACAAAAAACATCAACAGAACAGCACTTTCTCAAGGACCTGCTGTAGCCCAACGGAGAAGTAGGATTTTGAACCCAAGTCGGCCAAGTAACATATCCTCTGAACTTGAGTGGTCAGCATCTCAACAAAAACCTTCTGGAAGAGGATCTGCCTCTGTGTCTGTCCCCTCCATGTGTGCCCACGCTCCTGGGGAACACAGCACACCCGGCAATCGAGGGTTCACCTACTGTGGAAACCCAGGAAGCAGTTTCCTGCAAGCATCCTGACTTAGAGCATGTTGCTCAGTGGCCCTCACAGTTCTGCTCACACTTGTCACACTAACCCTTTTGATTTTAGTTGCTGGGTGGAATGAATGAAGACGAAGGACTACCTGGTTCCAGACAAGCTATTTTCACCATAGATGTGTTTTTCTTGGAGCCTTCCCACCCTTCAATGTCAGATTCCATGAAGCCAACTGTAATTGTCTCCTAGTTTTCCAACCAGATGAAGTGTGGAGAGAAGGAAAAGGAGGTTGTAAAGCAGAGGGTGAAAAGGTCTTCTGGTCCGTCTTATGTGACAGATGACCCTGAAATGCTTCTCCTACAGGAATTACCAGGCGGTCTCAAACATCACTCCATCCACATTTATTCTTTGAGGTGAACATACAGTTCAGAAACAAAAAGAACCCCTTGAACTCGGGTAGCCAAGGCCAGACCATCTTGGAGGGACCCATCTGTTCCCGCCCACGGGGGAGATCTACAAGAGAATGACCTCAATTTTTGTTAACCCTCTGACTTTTTTAGCATGTTTTCATTGTTTCTGAAATTTTGGAGGAAGGTGGACTAAGAAATTCATCAGTCCTCCTAATTAGGTAGTTCCGTCTTCATTCTTATGCTAAATGTGTTTCGAAGATATTGCAAAGTCTCCAGCGAATTCTGTGTTTTTTTTCTGACATAGCTTGTGGCCACACCACCTGCTTCTAATTCATTTCACAAAGAAGACTCAGCACAGACGTCTTCAGGGACCTAGCAAGTCTTGATTCTGTCTACTGAACCATAATAACATTCAACAAAAGAAAACTTTGGCTATTGACCTTCTCTGCCACCTGCCAGCTCCCGCCTCTGCAATTCGTCTGACTCCCGCCTGCAGAGAGAATGCAGCTAGAATGTGCGGAAGTGGAAAGACTTCTCTCCTTCGCAGTCAGAGACGGCGGGAAGAGGGGCCTTTGAAAGAGAATGTCTTGGGTGGCCACTTTGACAGCGTGACGTGGGCATGCCATCGGCTACTTACAGATTCTCCTGAAAGGTCAGGACGGCCAGCTTTTGGTGCTCCATATAAAAGAAGGCCTCAGAAAACCTTCGGACCTGAGGAATAAGATCACGTGAACAGTTTAATTCACGGGGTGGCTATTTTCCACCCAAAGGGAAATAGACAAAGGATTTTCCAAAGGGAAATTGACAAAGGACAGCTGAGCCCAGCACCCAGAGAGTCTGAAACAAGTCTTTCCACAGGTGTCCTCTCTTGGCCCAAAGCTGGCTTACGGACACAGTTTAATGCATATTTACGAACCCATTCTTCCAGAGTTTTCTATAATTTGTTTAGGTGGGTCTTACTTCTTCTACTAGAAGAAGACACTTGAAAACCATGACCGTAAGGAAATGCAGAGGAAACGGGATTTGCAAAGCCAGCCGCGTAAGCACAGCCACCACGTCCTGGGCAGACCCGGACATCTGGTCTTGCTGCTGCAAGTGGGGAGACCGACATCTATGAAGCATCAGTACCATCCAATGCTCCTAACCCGTGGCAAAGAAATACACCAAGAACAACATCTTGCATTTGAAAACGCTTCTCCAAAAACACGTCCAGAGTACTTGCAGCATCCCTCATGCTGCCATCCAGTAGCCAAGGCCGGTATTTTATGAATGGCGGAGGTCAAGGTTTCAGAGGCTGAGCCAGCTCATAATGTCTCACCACGAGCTCCCGGTGGAGCCAGGACCGATGCTCATGGCTACAGAAGTTAACCCCAATTCCCGGTCTGCCCCCCAAACTAATTGTTGCAAAGCTCCGTCAAGGGGCCACTGGCACACGACTAGAGGATTTACACCACTTGACCCTTACCCTCAAGGTGTGATGTTGCTGGGTGAGATAAGAGGTCACCTGGGAGTGTAGGGTCACCGTGTCGAGGAACTGGGTCCACAGAGCCATCAGGTGGGAAGTGAGCCAGGCGAGATCCTTACTAATCTGCTCAGCTATCTTCTCGGGATTGTTCAACATCTGGAGAGGCAAAATGGCGGTAGTGAAGAACCTCGTCCCACTGAGGCTACTGCAGGCTTCCTCCTGAAGCCTTTGCCAACTTCCCTGCTGTCAGTGAGTCTCTCCTTCCTCCGGACTCTGCGTCACATTACACTCTGGGCTCAGTCCTCTACAATCAAGACGGTAACTACGTCTTCGGGGCTATTATATGGCAGGTAGAACGCTAAGCATTGTGTGTGTAAACCCCCCCCCCCATTTCATGCCCACCACTACCCTTTAGTAGAGTTACTGGACATTATTTCACAGAAAAAACAAAATGAGAATCAGAGGGATTCAGCAGCCCTGCCAAGGCCACACAGAGCTGGGTTCAGGTGTCCCGCTGTCTAACCAAAGACCCACAGCTCCACACTGCCTTTCCATTGTAGGTGTTGAAAATCCTTCCTGTGGGATGCTAATGTGTTTATAACCCGAGCATCTAACTAGTTAGGTGATTTGCAGGAGGGAAGTGGGAGGGTGGTGCTCAATAGTGTTCCCACCATCTTCCCACCATCACTCCAAATAGCTTCAGGGGGAATCTTGGGTTGCCTGAACTACAACTTGGAAGATGCCAGCCTAGAGACGGCCTAGAGCCTCTGGGGGGAAGCTTTGGATAGCTTCAGTTTAGAACTGGGAGGCTATCTGCTGGGGATGGGGCTGACTTTGCTTTTGGAGGGGAGATCAAGTCTCAGAGGAGTGTCAGGGAGCCAGGTGTCAAAGCCAGACACTGAGTGGTAAGCCCACCATTTAGTAACAAGCCCTTCCATGTCCCAGGCACAGGTTTTGAATAAACGGGGACACAAAGATGAGTAAAGGAGGGTCTCTGCTGGCAGGGAGCCTCCATGGGCAGAGGCAATAGGAAGGTGAGTTAACAGTGGGGAGTAGTGGGGGTTTCTCTGTCATGGAAGACATATAGGGGGCAGAAAACACCAGCCATTTCAAGGCCATCTCTGCTCTCCTTCCCTGCTCCGTATCTCAGTTTCTTCATCAGTAAAACAGGTATGCGAAGCAAATGGCCACTTATTGGATGTAATAACAGGAAAAGTAAGTTTGAAGTCTTGCTTACAAAAGTAGAATTCCTTTTGCTATTCTCAGACTAAAGGCTGATGCTAGAGGAAGGCAGGTGGGCTAGAGTGAGGCATCGATCTAAGAGGAAGAAAAAGAGGGAAGGACGAACGTGGCACCCGGTAAGATTCTTTAGTTCTTAGGGACTGGTATTTAATGATTAAGGACTGGCTGCCAGGTATAGGGCATCCACCAAGCGGGGCATCTCCGAGCTCCTTCTTCCAAGAGGAAAGGTCAGTCTTTGATGATACACCAGCTCCAAAGTGGGAGAACGGTCCTGCTTCCTTCTGATGGAAGGCTCACTTCCTGCACCAGCTCCGTTGGGAGGCAGAGGTCAAACTGGGACTACCCAGTCTTGGTTCAGCCTTACAGTCTGTGGCCAAAGGTGTTCAGAGGCAGAAAACTGAGCAATGTGCTGGAGAGAGTGGGGGACATGGTCAGCCCCTGGAAAACCTCTAGGCTAGAATGCGAGGTTTCTGGGTGGACCAGAACTGGCCCCTCTTTACCAGGTACCCTCGCTAATGAGCACCAAACACCTGTGTCTGTGCTTGGCTCCATTTCACCCCTGAGGCCGTGGCCTGCCTTACCTTTGGCACGCCCTGCCCCAGACACACAACTTGCTCACTGTGGCCTGGATGCACCCAGCTCCTTCCAAGTATCAGGCTCCGACCAGACTGCACAGCCTCCTTGGAAGTCCTTCTCCTTTCATCTTCCAGCCTCCCTTCTCCTTCTTTTCACCACCCTGGGCATGTCTGCTCCCCACCAGGGGATGGTTTAAGGAGCCAGTGTAGTCCCCATGGTCTCTGAAGATTCTTTAGAAATGTCTACTTTGCTCCAAGCTTAAGTCTAACCTCCCCGTCCTTGAAGTCGATTTAACCCTGCACACACCACTCCCAATGCACCACTGGCCAGACACCGTTCCTACAACCCTCCCCTGCCTGCATTCTGAGCTTCTCCATTTTCCCAGTAACCACACGATGGTGGACGAGTTGTAGGGATTGGGTAACTCTTTATTGAGAAATCTGGTGACTCTGCATCAAAGAGAGACACCCCAGGCCTCAGTAACTGACGTCCCTCGCTGGGCTGCTCGCTCCGGCCCCCACAGCTCCTCCAGCATCACCGCAGTGGAACCAGCAAGCACAGCGTGAATTCTGAGCTCAGCCGCCCCAGTGAAAGGGGAAAAAACAAAGCTGCTCATTGAATGTGTCTTTGGGAGAATGATGTTTTCCCCTCGTTGATTACAGAAATGGCTCCAGATAAGGTTAAAGAAGCTTCTAATTAGGCCACGAGAGGACTCCTCGCCTCTCACAGATGCCTGGGCGTCTTTGTAACTGTAGATGATGGGCATGGAAGGGCTTCTCACACAGCACCAAGGAGAAGCCCTTCACACAAACGAGGACACAACTGGACCCGATGCCCTTTCAAGTGAAGCTGTCTGAGGAGTGCTCAGCCACGGAGCTCGGCCACCCCTGCCATGCTTCTCATCCACCTCTAACCATGCTCCCTGGTTCACTCCTTCCCTGCCACCTGGCACACTCTGTCCCCTTCTAGGTTAGCCTCCCGGAGAGCTGGGCACCTCTCCCCTTGCAACCCCCGCTCGAGCCCTGACTCTACTGGCAGCTTCTGAGCAAGCCTCTTCCTCCTGGGGCCCCTAGTCCCGGGAACCATGTCTCCGTTGTATTCCCAGCAGTGAGCAGAGCTGCCGACATACAGTAGGTGTTTAATAAGTGTTTATAGGATTCACTTGGAACAAAGATACATGCAAATTGCTCCATGACTACAAAACTCCATGTTTTCAACTTCTTTTAAATCATGCAAACACTTCCACGCAGACCCCCACTCAGCTAGCCCCCCATCATCTATCCCCTTTGATAGAAGTTTCCCTACCTGGTGTGGCCGGCCACTAGGTGGCGATGTCCTCCCTCCAACAGTTTGGTGGGTTTTGCGTGCCCTTTGGGGGTGCTGGGGAGGGGGCTCTTTTCCTTTCACTATGAGCGTTAGGGCAGCTCTTTAGCAAACAATAGAGTGGGCAGAAGCTCAGCCCCACTCCCAGGTTCCCTCCCCATCACCCATCAGTATCCCTGCATCAGTGGGCTAATTTGATTGCACTGTACAAAATTAGGCCTGTAGCTACACAATCACTCAAAACCAGGGCAGTATCCCAGTAGCTTGGGGGACGGCGCCAGAGTAGGAAGGCAACCGTTCATTGGCTTTTCACGAGCTATCTCAGACAGATTCATTACCGGCCTGAGTTCTCACTGGAGCCCCTATAGGGACCAGATCATCAAAAGAGCAGTAGCCCCCAAGCCCAGCCCTTAGTGGTTCAGAGGCTTTAAGAAAGCCACCCTTCAGAGTCCACTGTGGTAAAATGAATGGGGACACATCTGTGTGTCCCTTGTATTCTCAGGGCTGCTGGGAGGCCTGAAGGAGGGAGCCAGAATCCAGCAGGTGGAAGCCAGCATTGTCATTATTTTGGCTATAAATGGAATTAGCCATCCTTTCCTGACTCAAGACACACACTCCTCCTTCACACAACTCCCAGCAAGCTTGTCACTGTCCCACCTAGATCCCTGTCACCTGGGGGTGAGTCCAAGCTGTGCACCATGCAGGGCACGCAGGTCCCCCCTCAGAGTCCCAGTGTCCCCCTGCCTCCCCAAGAGCCCTGCTCACTGGTGCACACGCACGCCTCGCCACTGGGGCTCTCCCAGCCTTGTCTCCACCATTGCCTCCACTGCCTCTTACTGGAGGCCATGAGACTTTCTCTCCCAAGCAGCCTCCTCTCTGGGGTCCACTAGCATCTGCCCCGCAGAGCGAGCCAGTGACACATCCTCCTGGGTCCCCATAGCCATGCACATGTCTGTGTCCGCATCTGCAGCCCCCTCCCCCGGCCAGCGAGGCGCACTGGGACAGTGAGACTGTGTACATGTGGGAGCTCATTTCCCCCTCAGACTGGCCCTCCGCACGTGGGAAACCAGCCACCCAGAGGGGACATGACCAGTCCAATGTGGGCAGCCAGCGCATATCCTCAGGATTGCTCTGTGGGGCCCACATGGACTCTGGCCACTTCTCCTCCTTGGGGCGCAATGGGGCAGCAATGCACAGGGCCTGGTCAGATCAGCGAATGAGCATGCCGACTCCCACCCCTTCTGCACATGAATCAACAGCCTTGGGGTGACGACAGCTGCTGCGGGGTCACTGGCTTCCTCACCTTTGGTGGCATATAGCCTTCTGTGACTCATTAGTGCGTTCATCCGCTCCCGGAAGGAACACTTCTAGGTAATGGAAGCTGGAGAGTGAAAGAGACCCCCTCGGCTGTGTGCCCCCAAGGGAAGGGGTCTCTGCAGAGGCCTAACCCAGGGCCCAGTGAGGCGTGGGGACTCACAAAATGTTTGCGGGAATGAATCAACTCTCTACGGTAGTTCCCACCGAAACACTGACCCTATGTGGTCATGAAGACATGAGCAACGCGGCCTTTTAACCACATTCCCCGTGGGGCGAGTGTGGCACCAGGAACCCTTCATGTCCAGGGAAGGGACAAGCCAGAGGGCAGTGAGAATTGTACCAAGTGCGACAGTTAGCGTTTTCTCCGTTCACTGCTCTGCCCGGCTGCATGCGGAGGCTTCGTGATGCTGCTTCCCCGGAGGGCATCCCGGTGGGGCGGGTGGGCTCCGGCTTCATGGCCACCAGGGCCTGGCCCTGTTCCGATACCCTTTGCGAGGTGAGCCCTGACTCTTCCTGGCCTGAAGACAACGGGATCCCTCCCTCCATAGAACCGCCCTATCCATTCCATGGGGAAACGCACGCCATGCCCATAAAACCAGCAGCTGGTCAGTAGCCAGAGAAAAAGAGCTTAATAAAAACCAAGCCATTTTATCCCCATTTTACAGATATGGACATCAAGGTCTGCAAAGCTTAAGCAACTTGTGCAAAGTCACATGGTGAGTAGGTAAGGAATTCAAGCCCCATCTCCCTGGCTCTCACATGACCACTTTTGCAACATGTCAGGACGCCCCATCCCTTGCACAGTCCCCCAACCCAGTCACCACTGAGGGGGGTCTAAGAAGCAGGAAGCAGCCCCTGGCATGCCCTAAGGAGTACAGCACAGCGGGAAACTGAAGCAGTGGCCTGGGCACTGTGCAGTCTGGGGGTGTGTGCCCTGCTTCCCTCCACCACTCCCTGGGTGCCCCAGCCAAGCGCTTCCATAAAGGCGAAATCTCCATGGATATGGGGAGGCCAGAGGAGAGACAACAGGACAAGCATTTAACCTGTGCCTGGCCCAGAGCATGCATTGGGTCAGTGCTGGTTGTCCTTGGTCCTGGAGGTTGGGAGGCTCCGGTGAGAGCACTGCGGGCCAGGCTGTCTTCCTGGGTTTCAGAGAGAAGGTTCTGGGAACCTGAGTGAGAGAGGCCCAGCAACCAGGAGAGAACCCACAGGCCACCCCATGTCTGCCTGCTCCTCACGCTGGGAGCGCCAGGTGAGACAGGGGGTGGGGTGAGTAACAGCCACTAACAGTGTTTTTTCTTCCAACTGCAAAAACTCAATTGCCGATGGCTTATGGAGGCAACAGCTTCTCCTTGGGACGCTGAGCTGCAACCAGGCTGGGAGTGACTGGGCCTAAGCCAGGCCAGCCCCGGAGGGTAAGGCCAGCTGTGCACCACAGACCTGTGAGCCATGAGCCATGAGCTCAACAGGGTCCTCTCGTGTGCGCTCTCCTGGTCTCCTCACAACAGCCACGACACACATATGAGAACTCCGAGGCCACCGAGATCCTAAATCGCACATCTGGGATCCCGCAGCTGATGTGCAGAAGGGGGAGAGGCTGGACTTGAACCGGCAAAGCCTCTGGGCTTTTCCAAGGGAACGCGGCCCTGGGTGCCCTGTGGGGAAGAAGGGGGAGCTGCGGCTCCTGGAGTATCCGGCCCTGTGGTCACCTAAGCCGGACGCAGTGCACGGCCTCCACGGCCTGCGGGTTTAGAGAGCGGATGCTCCACGCACTGGCATCCAAGTCCTTGGCCGCCCGTATGTTCCCCTTCCACACTCTGTAGATGGCTTCTTGTGCCCCTCACATGTCCCCACCTTTATCAGGAGCACTGCCTGTCATGTGACTCCTTGAGGACCCCACCCTTTCTTCAGGGCTCACTTCAGAGGGCCCCTCCGCCCTAGACCCTCCCCGACCCGGGCACGGGGCTCCTGCTCTGCCCCTGCCTTCCCACTGGGCCGCCGTCTGTCCACGGCAACACGGAGTTTCCCTGACTATAGCTCTAATGCAGGGGTTCTCAGCCCTGGCTGCACAGTATACTGGTCTGGGGAGCTTCTTTCTACATTTTTTTCTTCCAGTTTGACTGAGATATAACATTAGTCATATATCATTATGTTCCTTTAAGGGGCACAACATCATGACCTGATAAATGCATCTATTGCGAAATGATCACCACAGTAGGGTTCACTAACATACCCACCATGTCCCAGACTTAAAATGTTTTCCTGTGATGAGAACTTTTAAGATCTATACTCTTAGTCACTTTTAATCACACAGCACGGTATTGCTAACTTTAGTCCCCACACTGCGTGTCCTGCTCCCAGAACTCTTTCCTCTTCTAGCTGGAAGCTCGTACCTTTTGACCACCTTCACCCACTTCCCCACCCTCTGGCGAGCACTGATCTGTCCTCTGCTCCTATGAGTTATGTTTTTGTCTTCTATTCCACATGTAAGGGAGATCACGTGTTACCTGTCTTTGTCTGACTTTACTACACTTAGCACGATGCCTTCAGGATCCATCCGTGTTGTTGCAAACGGCTGGATTTCCTTCTTCTTATGGCCGAGCAGTAGTCCACTGTACAGATACGCCACATTTTCTTTATCCATTATCCTGGGCATTTATCCATGCCCAGGTCGTTCCCGTGCCTTGGCTATCGTGAATGACACAGCAGCGAACACGGGGATGAAGACATCTCTTCAAGATAGTGATCTCCTTTCCTCAGATACGTACTCAAGTAGCGAAACTGCTGGACCATCGGGTGGTTGTATTTTTAAATGTCGGAAGAGCCTCCATACCATCTCCCACAGTGGTGGCTCCAGTTTCCACTCCCGGCAAGGGTGCGTGAGCATTCCCTTTCCCCCACATCCTCACCAGCACTGGATGTCTCTCGTTTTTTTGGCAACAGCCACTCTAACAGGTGCGAGCTGGTATCTCGCTGTGGTTTCAATCCAGCTGGGCAGATTCACGGAGTACAAATGCCTGCGCTCCATTCCCCAATACGCGGTCTCACCTGGTGTAGATGGGACCCAGGCTGAAGTACATTTGGGGCACTTAGAAGTCCCAAATGTGTTGCCACTGTGCAGCAAGGGTGGAAAACCCTGGTGTGAGACGACGATGTCACTTCGCAATGAGTGTCAGCAGCTGGCACTGACGAGCAGTGTCACCAAGCCTGACTGTCACACTGATTTCCATCTTCATTTGCCTCTCGCTATATAAAGGAGGGTGTGCACAACCTACCCAGACCATCCACGCAGAGGGATGGGAGAATGCTTCAGAGACTGCAAATAAGAGCAGCGTGCACTTGCCAAGTATCTATTTAAGCACGTATTCTTCATGGAGGCGCCATGAATTTCTAGCAGACGCACGCTACGGTATCTTTCATCGGCGTCATCGCACTGCTAATCTCCTGCCATGGCCGAGGCCGTCCAGGCACAGGTGCAAGGTCTCCATCGCCCTCCAGGGGACGCACAGGGCTGGTAGTCAATACATTTTGTTAAACGGATGAGTAATAGATAAATGCAGTGTCAGCTCCAGGGACAGAAACCTGTGAACCTGTTTGTTTTTTCCAGAACATCTAGCCGAGAGCTAGACATACAAGAAGGGTCTAGTGGATACTTAATAACAAAGAATAACACAGAGCGGCAGAGATCTCTTCAGTTTCAGGTCTGGCGTGAGCTGACACGCCCTATGCTTCCATCTCTGCTTCCTACATCAAGCTGGGACCTACACTGGTCCTGCATCACACCCACCCTGTCCTCCCACAGGGTGAATTTTTTAAATTACCTGTAGCTCTGAGCACAGCTGAGAGAGCGTTTCCTCCACAGCAAGGGACTCTAGGAAGAAAAAAAGAAGCACGATAAAATGGGCACCTGCTGAAATGCTGCGGTTGCTAACTGCACTAAAGAAGCATACGTTCAAGCTGGCCTTAAAGTCACAGAAAGAAACACAGCTCCCGAGGACTCGCCTCCTTTCTAGTCTCACTTCCTAAAGGGGTCATATTTACAAGAAGGGTAAGCCTGATCTGGGGCCATGTGGCCCCACACTAGATAATGGTCAGTATCATCTCGTGGATGCTTTTCTGAGGAACAGAAGGCCCCCACGTTCACACAGCACTTTGTGTGGCTCAAACGGGAACCACATTCTTTTGGGTTTTTGCAGGTATGTGCACGCACAGATGATGGCTGCTAAAAGGTTCCTACAATCATGCAGATTAAATATATATATATGCATATACATACACATATATATAATATGTATAAAAGACATATACAAGCATGTATTTGTGAATGTATGAAGAGTATACATAGAACCTATGTGTATTCTTTAGGGTTTTCCACTCTTGTCAGTTGCAATCTTATAACTGTTTTCCCTTCCCAAGCAACTTGTCGTTGTGCACAACAGTGGCAGACGTGCAGCAGGTGTTCAGTAAATGCCTGCTGGGGGAATGAACGCATGAGTGCACGGGCCTCAGGGTGCTCCTGCCTTTTCCTCCCATACGCACACGCGCCCCAAACTCCCTCCTGCGAGAACGAGGTAACACACAGAAAACATACCTGGGATGGCATCCATCCCTGGGATGCTGACAGAATCACAGGCTTTCTCAAATCTGGCCCCAAAGTGGGCAGGTGGGCCGCCAGCTTGAGGCGTCCCCTGGGCGCAGCCCCTTACCTAGCTCCATGTGCGGCAGCTCCGGGATGTCCCGCATGATGGCCAGGAAGTAGGCGCGGAGTCCCCCGTAGGCGCGCAGGAGCAGGCAGCACAGCTCCCGATGCCACCGGTGTGCGTGCTGCATGCAGTTCTCGGACGGCACGTAGAAGCTCCCCTGTGGGTGGGACGGACACCGATGCGAGGGCCGCCCCATGGGCATCCCTGAGAACAGCAGTCGGGGGTTCGCAATCCCAGGGGAGAGAGAACTCGAGTCCCTCCCCCACCTCTCCATGTGGGGAAAATCCTGCCATCGGCCGAGCCTCTGTCTTATGTGTTTATGTTAAAATAATAACAAGAGCAATATTCAGAGTAATAATACCAATGAGGAGGAGGAGGATGGCACCGACCTGGAAGGTCTGGGACAGCCTCAGGGTACCCGCTCACAAGCTCTCATTCCCTGGCCGCAGAAGATGGAGACGGGCATGAGGGTCTCCTCTCGCAGGGACAGGAGGACTTTGTAGAGACCCTCACGGTGGGTAGGTGAGCGGCAGGTAACGCCAAGAGGTAGGAGGACGTACAGCTGTAAAAGGTGAGGTTAGCTACTCGATGACCACAGCGCATGTGGCGAGAGACTGAACGCGAGGGTACGGCGTCAGGTGCATCTGCTTGCAGATGTTGGACCCAAATGTGGTTTGTGCGATGAAGGAAAGGTGGCCAAGTCCACAGTGCACCTGGAGACCCAGACCCGGCAGAGGAGAAGATATGACGTCTTGGGGTGAATTTCAGAACAGATTGGTTTTGGGAGCAGAGAAAGGAAGCCCTCAGGGAGGGGCCTAGGCAGCAGAGGAAGAGGGTGCTGGTCCTGGGCTGGAGAATTCCAAGGATGTGGACCCTGCCTGTCCATCTACAGCTCATGCAGCCATGAGGGGAGGAAGCCAATGGCTCTTCATGATCCCCTGAAGCTCTGCCTTTCCTGCCACAGGAAACTCCACATGGGGAGCTGGTACAATTCCCCCCACCACGTTCTCCTGGGCTGGTGATGTGGCAGGCTCCTGCCCCATTTGGTCTCCTTGTTTGCTGCCATCAGAGAGGACTGAGTTGGTCCACAGGGGCAGGACAGGTCTATTAGAGGTCAATGGCCATCTATATGTCATCTGAAGTCCCCATGGTGCCACAAGTGTGGACGGTCATGGGTGTGTTGTACTTGTGCTAATCGTGGCGTCATGATGGGTGGGTCATGCAGGGGGCTACACATCAGGAAAGCGTGATGCGGGGGTCACCTAGGTCTGAGATGGTCCTAAGTCAGGTCCCTAAGAAGAAGACACTGTCATGCTGCACAGCAGAGACCTCGGTCCATCCCACGAGGAGCTCAGGAGCTGCAGGGACCGGTGGCTTGGAGGAGGGGCCGGGTTTCTGCATCCATGCACTAACCATTACTGAGTGTGGGTTACCCTGGGAGGAGGTGTGACCTCGGCATGTGAGGGAATGAATGTCTCAGGTCTGAGAAGGGAAGGGGCATTCACCACCGCAGCCCCTGAGAGACCCTCAGTGGACCCTCCGCTCCCCGGGGACTCCCCTGAAACCTGCATTTCTCATCCTTCCTAGTATGTTAGGAACAGAAGTCAGTGCAGTTGTAGAAGCATGAGCAGAGCTGTGCACGGCAGGGTGTGTGTATGGGACTCCCCAGACCTACGTCACTGTTCACGAAGCGTCTACGTACTCCGGTTACCTTGACCTCGTCTGGTGTTCAACAAACAGCATTCAGAGCAGAGGCTCTCCTTCTGACTTTCAAAATGAGAATATGCATATGGCAAAAAGCTCAATATTACCAAAGGAAACACAACATAAAGTGCCTCATTCCCCGAGTCCATTAATTTCTTGTGGATCCTTCAAGAATACTCCCATAGGTGTATGGGCATCGATGTCTTACGTGCACTTAATATACGAATGTGTGTCCTGGAAACACACACAGAGACACTCTCACGAGTTGGAAAATGTTCTGGATGGCTCTGTTTCTTGCTTTTGTCCCTAATCATGCCCCAAAAGCTCTTTCTGATTAGATCAAATAGTAAGTGGTAAGAACTCCAATTTCTGTTTCATAGATCAAAAGACTGTGGGTCAAAGATCAAATGACTTGTGTACAAGGCCACCCTGCTTTGCCTGCAAAAGAAGTGATTCCCCGGTTCAGGTGCTAAACGGGGCCAGTCCCTTCGCAGCGTGTACAGGAGCCCTGGAGACCAGGCCTGATGGAGGACAGATGTGCCACCAGGCCTGCCTGCTTTGACTGAGGCATAAATTTAAGTCCTGCAGGGCCTCTAGTAGCTGTAAGTAGGCAGAAATGAAAGCAGACGGGATTAACAAAGGCATCAGATCGAGGAGCTGGGAGCTGCCAACCTGATTGGTTCAAGCGGCCCTGAGCCTCCTGCTTCCTGGTCCTGCCACCTGCTCACAACGGAATTTTCTTGTCACCAATGCCTCCGATGCAAAAGGCTTCGGGACCCAGTGAAAGCAAGGGATCTTGGAAGTCTGATATTAACTCTGACTTTTAAAACTAGATGTGACAAGACTGGGTGTCATATTGACTGACAAATGACTGAACATTATATCTGAAACTGATGTTGTACTACAAGTCTGGCCAACTGAATCTAAATAAAACAATGAAAAATAAAACTAGATACCAACATCATATGGATTTTTCTCAAGAGACACATAAGGTAATCTTTGGGGAATTTCCATAGCATTGGTTCAATGTGGTTATTGAGGTAATACGAAGTCAAGACGGTAACCTCAGGAGAAATCCTGAAAGACACGTATGGCTTGTGATTATTATCAACAAAACAAAGCTTGTTTCGGGTAAGAGTCGACAGCACAACTTTCTGAAAGTGAGCGAGCTGCTGCAGAAAGTGTGCAAGACCTCCGGGGGCTTGCGCAGGCAGCGTGGGCCAGCAGGGAACAGCCCACACACTCCCACGGGCCTTGCTCGGGGCGGCCGGAAAAGCACAATCTCCCCACACCACGAAAGGAGCGTCGAGCACCGCCCTCCCCTCGCCTCCCCCCTCAATGACACGCAGGCCTCACACCAGACCTGCAGAACACCAGGCTGAGCTTGAACTCACGATGGGAAGCTCCAGGCCAGAGCCCAGCCCAGAAACAGCAGGCACGCAGCGGGGGTAAGGAGGGCACGGTCATGACACGGCTTCTTACGGCGGCTCTTGAGGATCAAGCAGGGCCGTTCTGGTAGAACGCAGACTTGGGCGACGTCCCAGGGTAATGTCAGTGGGTGGAACAAGATGCCCCCACTGATGGCCTCCAGGAACGTGTCTACAGGTTACACGGCTTGAACGTCAACAACGATCCACTTAGAAACCTACGCAAAATGGGTTTTAACTCAACGGAAGCTCTCTGGGAGCTCTGCTGGGACATGGTTTGATTAGAACAGAGAATCTGGAGGCCAGGAGGCCTGCGCTGTGCTCATGGGTGAACCACTCATGAACGGTGTGACCGGGCTGGCCCCCAGTCCTTTGAAGTGTCCGTTTCCGATGGGAAGTGGGGAGAGCAGTACAGCCAAAGTGCTCCTGAGAGTGCCTGGGTCACACTCAGTACTTAACCGGTGTTCGGAAGGTTTGCTTCACTACACAACAGAGAACTCAGGCTTGCCATCAACGCTGACCTTCCTCTAGAAGAAGGTCCCATCAGGTCGCATTACATCTCCAGATCTAATTCCTGCCCGGGGCTCTCAATCTCTGTTCCAGGGTGCTGGGCAGCTTACCTGTCGTCAGAGGCAGCTTACAAGGAGCTAATTGCTATCGTCCTGACCCAATCCTTCTCTTCCTCTGGTCATCCTTAGTGGCCCCATTTGCCCCAACATGTACGACAGCTGTGACATTCTCCCAGACTCCAAATTTCTTTCTCACCTCAGAATCCGTAAGGAAGTCTTAAAGGCTCTGCCTCTACCGTGTCTTGCTTCTGCCTTCATTTGAGTCTTTACTGTTCACTTTAATGATTCAAGCATCCCACTGCGCTGGGCTGACCTTCCTTCCAAAACCCCAGCATGTGCAAGTTACTTTATGGCATTGCCCGTTCTCTGCAAGACAGAGCTTGAGCTCCTTGTCATCGCCCTCGAAGCCGGGAGTCCCCCCCCACATGTCCAGCTCCTCGGCCGCATCTTGCCCCCAACAGAGCTCTAGTTGCTTTTCTCCTTTTAAGGGTCTGTCCCCCGGCGGCCTGAAACTTGCCACCAAGATTCGGGTCAAACGTCCTCTCCTCTGTGAAGCTTCTCCTTCCTCTCTCCCTCCTCCCAGGTCCTGCACACAACTCCTAGGACCACCACGATGTCTGCAACCTCCCTCAACACCCTGAAGGCAGAAGCAGTTCGTCATTTGTATTTGGACCTGAAACAGCACATAGGATTTTGATGATGAAAGAAAGAATAAATGAACAAAGGAGCTGCTGCCTCCTCCGGCGGGGGGCGGGGACGGGGCGGGGCGGGGACTGGTGTCTGAAGAACACAAGAGACACGGACCTGGATGGAAAGTCCAGGTCACCGTCACTGCCTCCTTCCTAGAACTGTGGGTTTTCCCACAATTTTGGATTTGCTACATTGCCACAAAAATCATGTTCTGGAGCTTTGTGTCCTTTATATAAACACACTTATTTATGCTTTATATGAGATACGTACACAATCTGATATTTATCTGGCCCGTGGTAAGCACTGGTAACTTTTCATTTAATACAAACATGCCCATGGAAGTTAAGACACATTTCAGTACCAAACTATCAGTACATCTTCCGTGTTACGATTGTGGGAGAACACATAAATGGAATTGGGTTTTAATATTCTGTATATTTATTTGAAATAGGAATGTGAGCTCTATCAGACCTCACCATCTAGAATTCTATTAATAGTAGCCACTAGTCAGTAGATGTCTGCTGTGTGCCTGGTATTATGTTTTGGTCCCTGGATCCCTCCTCTTGATAATTCAGGGGTTTTTTTTTTTCCATTATTATCATATTTTTAATCAATGAGGAAACAACTAGAACATTAATAAGCAGCTGAGGCTTATTACTTGACCTTGTGCACGCCAGGCATTGTCGAAGTCCTCTACATGTATTAATCATTGCATTCTTATGCCAACCCTACAAAACAAGTACATTTATGTCCTCCCTGCCCCCGTT